GGGACACACTGGGGTCCTCTGTGGCTGGGCTGTGTCCCCAGGATAGGACCTGCCCTCCAGGGGCCCCGGGGGCCTGTCCCCGCCTCCACTCCCCCCTGCCTCGCACCCAGATCTCCTGAGGTTGGATCAGCTTGGAGTTTGGTGGAAGCAAAAGCGGCCTCGGGGAAGGGCTGTGGGACAGGGCCTGGAGGGACAGGGACCAGAGGCCCTGGTGTCTGACACAGGCCCCTCCCTGCCGCCCGGCCCCCCACCGCACCCCCTCCCGTCCTCACACCGGGTGTAATCACCCTGCCTGGGAGACCCGCCCGGACCCTCCCCAGTACCTGGGCCACCACCAACACCACACACTGGCTGGGCTGGAGGGAGTCGCCTGGAGCAGCCACTTCCCAGGTCCTGGGCGGGACTCAAGGAGAAATGAAACTGCCTGTGGTGGGGGCGGGGCCCTGCTGGGTTTGGGGAGGAAACCAGGAAATGGCCCTAAGGGTTTGCAGGTGGGTGGGCTTGGCCCCCGCAGGGCATGGAGAGGTGGGAAGAAGTCCTTCTTCTACAGCCACAGGAAAGGGGACAAGTCCTCATGGGACCTGGGCTCTGGGCCAGCAGGAGCGTCTGAGGTTGGGGAGGGGCTCAGCCCACAGGCCCGACTGCAGGTCTTCCTGCCGCGACCAACCCCCTCGGGGACCGTCAGCTTCTGGGTGGATGTTATTGTATTTTTTTGCTATTTTTTAGGTCCGTATTTTTTTAAAAAATATATTTTATTGATTTTTTTTACAGAGAGGAAGGGAGAGGGATAGAGAGTCAGAAACATCAATGAGAGAGAAACATCTGTGGACACATGCTGACCTGACCAGCTCAGGAGAGGCCTGCATGGCAGTTTTGCAGACCTAAAGTCACCACAAAGGATGGTCTGAAATTAAACCTTAACTAAAAGCAGTGATGGTGGGCAGCTACGTCCTGGGCCGGTATCTTCACTGACAAGGTCAACCTTTACTGTAACTGAGCCTGTCTGTCTTTTTGCATCTATGATAACATGTCCTTGGGATGTCTGGGTAACTTGTGACTTTCCTGTATCTGGAGACCCTGGGTCACAGCCAGGTGTGCTGGGCCCAGGAAGGATGCAGCAGATTCTTTCATTTATCATGTGAATGGATCCTGCACCCACCTAAGTATGTGTCCATCATTTTACTTTTTATCCTATCACAGAGGTTTCCCCGCTTTGCTTTATCCCTCCTCCTTAAATCTGTCACCAATGGATTTCATGTATAAATATGGATGTAACCCTGCCATTCTCCGGAGCACTATCTCAATTCGTTGAGGTTCTGCTTCCCAGCATATGTCAACAGTTTGGCTCAAATGAGCTCACAAAAATTCTTTATAGGTTTCAATGGTTTTTTTCATTGACACATTGATCAACCGCCTCCTGCATACCCCCCACTGGGGATGTGCCCACAACCAAGGCACCTGACGGGAATCGAACCCGGGACCCTTCAGTCCACAGGCTGACGCTCTATCCACTGAGCCAAACCGGCCACAGCATGGTCCCTATTCTCTCATCACTGCTCTGAAGGGGGCGGTGGAAAGGGCTGGTGACCTCCGCCCTCATTCTCCTCCTCAGAGTCGCTCTGCAGGGTTCAGACACTTGTCAGCATCACCAACAGTCAGCACCCAGCTGGGAGCCAGGAGCCATGGGAGGCCCCAGCCACCGTGGGGGCGGCACTTAGAGCAAAAGGACTGCAGGTGCCAGCCAGTCAGGGGTTGAGCGTGGACCTACCTACTGAGTTATGGTAGCAATCATGTCAGGTAGAAACTACAGTTTACCTTTAACCCTGCTGTTTGGCTTATGTACCTGGTTATTTTGGTTTTCTGAATTATATAAATCACCCCATTCGATTGAATACCCTATTGATTATGTGAATATCCCCTGGGTTGTGGTCATACTGGCCTTAGAAAGCACATTTTCCCTTCCCTGGGAAGGACAGCACGGTTATCCCAAGGTCAGAGGGCTCCAGTTAACGTGTGCCTGTGGACTCAGTGTTCCGGAGACCCAAAACAAAAACTGTGCTTTAGATAACAGGCTAAGTCTGACCAGGTTCCTCATGCCAGACCCGAGGGCTCTAGGTAATGTGTTTCTGTCAATTCAGGGATCCAGAGACCCAAAACTGTAATTTAGACACAACATGCTGCTTCCGCTTCTGCTTCTGTAAACTGCTTTTTTGCAAACCAGGTTCCTCATTCCAAACCTGGGGATGTAATCAATACCTTTGTGATCTTTGCCTGTATCAGTCTGGTGTTGCGACCATCTTATTAGTATGAGATTTGGGAAAGCAGAATGGCCCCTCATAGTCCCGGATTGCAATCAATGTGACTCTTCAATTCGACTTCTGGAGGCGTCCTTCTGTGATTCGCGGGGTACCTTACAACTACAAGCGAAGAGCTCACAGTTCCATTCCCCATCACATGCCCAGGTTGCGGGCTTAATCCCCATGGGGGGCGTGCAGGGGCAGCCAAGGGATGATTCTTTCTCATCATTGATGTTTCTCTCTCTCCCTTCCTCTCTGAAATTATTTAAAAGAACATATTTTTTAAAAAGGACTGTCCGCCCCACCTAGACTTACTCTTTTTTTTTCCAATCCTCACTTGAGGATGATTTTCCATCGATTTTTTAGAGAGAGAGGAAGGAAGGAGGGAGGCGAGGGGGGAGAGGGAGAAACGTCCATGTGAGAGACACATTGACCGAGGTCGTGGCCTTGACCGGGAATCACACCCGAGGCCCTGAGGTCCACAGGCCGGGCTCTGTCCACTGAGCCATCCCCCCCCCAGGCTGTGACCGCTTCAGTTCCCTGTGGGGCAGCTCCTCCCCAGGCTTCTCCTCTCTGCCTCGCGGGTGCCCCCTGGTGGTCGGGCAGGCTCACTGCTCAGCCCTGTGACCTGCTGGGAAGGTCAGGCCACAGGGAGGTGCCCAGGGCTGAGCCCAGCAGTGAATCCGCAGCCTCCTGGCTGCTCCCCGGATCCTCCCCCCACAGGGCTCCCCGGCTCCTCCCCCCACAGGGCTCCCCGGCCCCTTCCAGGCCTTGGGCTCTCTTGTGAGCACCCCTGAGAGGAGGAGGGAAGCTGGGGCTCCACTGACTCTGCTGCCTTCTTCCCGGACCACAGAGCAGAGGGCCTGGACCTCACCCTGAGGCCACAGTCCCCACCATGAGGTGAAGGTTCGCCCCTGAGAGCTCTGGGTGCGGGTCCCTGGCAGACGGGGCGGGAGAGAAGGCAGACGGGGACGATTACATGGGTTCACCCAGCCCCGCTCACCCGAGGGTTAGACGCCCCCTTTCCCGCCCTGGAGCCAGGGCCCGAGGCCGCCTGGTGACCCCGTGCCCATGGGGGTGGCAGCTGCCGGGGGTCCAGGTGACAGCCCCCTCCCAGGCCCGGAACAGCGGCGACCTGGGTGCGGGGTCACAGGGCCAGGTCACCCGGCTGCTTATGTGACACCCCGAGCGTGACCTGTATCGGTGGGGCCCGTGCTGACTCAGCACACGGATGTGGACGCACAGACAGGGTGCCCTGTGCCGAGGCCGCAGCTACACACAGCACTTTCTTCTGGCAATTTGATGGGACAAATTGTTCTGATTCGTCCTAAGCAAACTCAGTCAGAGGCACAAATTGCATGAATTTTTAAAGGGAAAAAAGAGAGACTATGGACATGCCGGCTGGCACACCCAGAAGAGGCAGTGAGGAGGCAGACAGAGATGTGAGCTGGGAGCCAGCTGGTGTGGCTCAGTGGCTGAGCAGTGACCTAGGAACCAGGAGGTCAGGGTTTGATTCCCGGTCAGGGCACAGGCCCAGGTTGTGGGTGGATCCCCAGGGTGGGGCCTGCAGGAGGCAGCTGGTCAGGGATTCTCTCTCACAATTTTCTTCCACTTCCCTGACAGCACTTCTTAATGAATCACGTGTATGAAACTGATCCCAGTGCTGAGTGTGCCCGCGGGTCAGGGTGGGCCAGGCTCTCACATTTCTGTGTGTGTGTGTGTGTGTGTGTGTGCGTGTTTGTACATATACATACACATATGTACATGTGTACACATGCACCATAGGTAAATGTACATGTGTATATTCACACAGAGATAGTTCTACATGCATAGGCTATTTGTTGGGTTTTTTATATTTACCTTTTGTTTAGTTTTATAATTTTTTTAATTTCTTGTTTATTTTCTAAAATATATTTTTATTGACTTCAGAGAGGAAGGAAGAGGGGGAGAGAGATAGAAACATTAATGATGAGAGAGAATCATTGATCTGCTGCCTCCTACAGGGCCCTACACTGGGGATCAAGCCCGCAACCCAGCCATGTGCCCTGACCTGGAATCAAACCCCGACCTCCTGTTCATAGGTCGATGCTCAACCACTGAGCCACACCAGCCAGGCTTCCAGTGATCTTTAGAGAGAGGAAGGGAGGGGGAGAGACAGAGAGACACACACATCGATTTGTAGAGGGACGTGCCTTTGGAATGGAACCTGGGACCTTCCGTCCACAGGCCGACCCTCTCTCCACCGAGCCAAACCGGCTGGGTGACAGTTTACTTTACCATTTTATTTTTTAGGTTCTAGCGAATAGAGTTTATTGTGGCAGAGCGTGCCACACACGACTGGAGGTGCGGACATTAGTGACATCACTCTGCGTCCTCCATCGGGAACAAGTGTGGCAGGTTCCCACCTGCGTCCGGTTCCCACCATCACCTGCACGGCTTCCTCCCTCTGACCCGTGGACGTTTAACCCGACGGCTTCTGCTGACGCTCTGGTTCCAAACAAAACTGTGCATAAGCTTCTGGGTCCACCTCATCGTCAGTATCATCCAAGAACGGTCACCACCCCGGACACACCTGCTCCATTTTCTTCACAATCTGGAAAAAGAGTCCTTTCTTTCAAGTCACTCTTTTTTGTTTTAATAAATTGTTATCGTTGAAAGTATCACATGTGTCCTTCCCCCCTCCCCCCCCCCCCACCCCCCGCCCTCAGGTCACTCCTGATTGAATCCTGGTCGTCGGGATCAGCTGCAGGGAGAGGAGCACCATCCACTGGACCCAATGGCGGTTCCGTCACAAAACAGTCGGGATCATTCTCAGGTGCTGCTTCTCTCGGATGCTGAGGTGACAGGGCCTCTCCCCCAGTTACTTGACCGGAGCTCTACAAGCGTCAAGAGCATGTGCCTCACGCCTTCACTGCAGGGCGCGTCCAGGACGATGTTTCCAATCCTCTGGATAACCTCGTCCATGTCCGTCCTTCCTTGTGCCTTCCAGGCATCTTCCAAGGCGGGCCCTGTCACTTTCAGGAATTGTACTGCACAAATTAGGTTATCGTCCACAGGGTGAGAAAGGAGGACTTCCAACAACCACCAAAGAAAAGGTGTTTGAGCCTTTCCATGTGCCCCTTCGATCTCCAGCGGAAGATAAAATTCTCCCATAAAGAGCACCAACTTACGGAAACGTTTCCAAGCTGCTTCATCTCTCGTGCCAGCTTGACCTAAAGGCTCATAATCAGTCTTCAATCTTTGAAGGAGCACGGGGAAGAATCTGCCCCTCTGTGAGCGAATGGTCAGGTGACGGGACAGGTAATTACACAGGCGAGCTCCCAGGCAGCAGAACTTCGGCTCGGACGTGGCCTGTTGGTAGATGAGGTCCACCAGTTCTTCCAAAGCCTCGTCCGTGGTGACCCGGCCACTCAGGGTCTCTGCAAACTGCTCCATGTCAGTTTCACAACTGCCAGGCTGCTCTGTCAGACGGTTAAAGAAATCCCAAACGAATACGGACAGAGGGAGACCATCCTCGCAGGGACCTGGAAATTAGAAGAACCTCAAGGGTAGAATTCAGGGCGCTGGCTGTCAGCGTCCTGGGGTCTGGTTTGTTTCAAGAATGTCCCCTTGGAGGGTGGGGAAGGGGCGGCTGGAGGCGGGCTCTGCTCCCAACACAGTGTCTTTAGAGAAGACCAGCCTGTGCTCTGGAGTCTCAGCCTTGTTTCCGACCAGCGATGGGAGCTCAGGGCTGTGACCATAAATAGAAACCCTCCCATTTGTCCCCGTGACCCGTGGGGTGGAGGCTGCACTGAGCTCGGTCCCCGAAGCGCTTAGCAACGCCCTCACCTACCTTGATGGCTCTTCAACCTATTCCTCAGCTCAAAGCAGACGTCGGGGATCTCACACTCAGTCTCAATCTCCAAGGACAGGGCCTCTGGCGTCTCCATCCTCACAGCCTGGCTCCTGGGGGAGCAGAGGTCAGAGCTGCTCAGGGGGCACCCCTCGGCTCCGCACCCCACTCCCCTCGTGCATTCTTCAGCACTCACCTGCTCAGGGCGCCCTCCACGTCCTGCGGGAAACAAAGGCACAGGTGAGTGTGGGAACACCATGCTGATGGGGCTGCTGCTCCCTCCCAGAGGCGCAGGGCAGGCCCGGCCTTGGGTTCGGATGGGATGGGGCTTATACCCTGGTCGGCAGAGCACCTGGATGACTCTGAAAAGCCATCCTGTTCTTTTAAATCTTAGGACACACACACTTATGGGAACAGGGGGTGCGTTTCTTACATGTGAACAGGGGTTGTGTTTTCGTTAAGTTTCCTTCCCAAGCCCTGTGCGAAGTGACTGCGGAGGTGACTGAGCTGTGAGTCCAGCCAGCAGAACCCATGAGCAGGGTCAGGCCCACCCACCAGGAGCCAAAACACCATCTGACCAACAGCATCTCATCGGCTGGGGACTGAGGACAAGAGCTGACGGCTGAGGCCCCCAGGGCTGCACACAGCACCCAGCCCCTTCTCTTTGTAGTCCTGTCCCTGCACCTGGTGGGAGACAGGACTCGATGCTTGTAAGCGCCCTGCCTGCTGGGTGGGCCCCTTCTCAGTAAACGCCTTATAGGACTCATCCCTGCCTTCGTGACTGGACACAGCGACAGGCAGCCCGAGCCCACTCCGGGGTTTCCGGGTAAGAGATGGACACCCCGGGCAGCGATCCCTACTCTGGCCTCTGGGCGATCAGCACAGCAGGACACCTCTCAGCCTCTGACCTGGCGCCCTCAGTGCTGAGGTGCTGGGGACCCTGCGGCTGCTTAGGGGCGTGGGGAGCTGCCCACGCTCCCTCTGGCCTCACCTCCCTCAGAGCGCACCTGACAGAGGCCCCCTGTCACAAAGCCTCTCGGCGATGGGTGGGTGCACGGCACCCAGACTGGGCCCTGAGGTGGCCGCCACAGTGACCCGGGGGCGGAGCAGCCATGAGACATGGTCACCCTGAGGGGCGCCCTCCACTTCCACCCGCCGGACCTGGGACCAGCAGCGGCCAGGGAGGTTCACCTTCCTGAGGCTGGAAGTGAAGCATAGTAGCCTCCATCTCGTATAGAAAACTGCTGTTAAAATTCTCTGCTGCTGTGAGATAATCCCTTGTTCTGTAAGCTCTGTCATTATAAACTCAGTCACTTTAAGACAGTCTGTTATTCTGTAAAACAACTTGTTTTTAGTTCAAATAATAGAAAAAGATCAACTTAACTGTCTGACCTTGCCAACTAGCCACCCAATGGAATAGCCTAAAATAGACTAATCCTGGTAAGAATTGTGCCGTGCACAAACTCATTATGTATTCAAGGTTACAACTGTCTGTAACATTAACTCACAGAGAGCCCTTTGTAATATCTGCAAACAAAGAGGCTCAAAAGGTATAAAGACGGGAAACTTCCTGAATGAGTTGCTCAGAGATTTGGAAAGAGACACCTCCCTCTGGGCCCCACACGGTAAACGACTCCTAGTTAATTGGCTCATTAAGGTCTCTTGTCTTCATTCGATGATTTACCATAAACAGAAGGAGGGCCCATCAGCCCAGGCTCACCATCACTCATGGGGAGGTCCCACTTGGTCCCCGCCATCGCCTGACCTTCAGGATCCTGTGCCCCTGGACACAGGCACGTGGGAGCGGAAACCATTCCCTGAGCCTGTTCGGCCTCCGAACAAACCCCCTCTACCTACAGGGGGGATTTAATTTTTCTTGATCCTCACCCGAGGATAATTTTCCGTTGATTTTTAGAGAGAGTGGTAGAGAGAGGGAGAGACAGAGAGAAACATCAATGTGAGAGAAACACACTGACTGGTTTCCTCCTGCACAAGCCCTGAACACAGCCTGGGCCAGGAAGGAGCCTGCAACTGAGGTACGTGCCCTTGACCAGAATGGAACCCGGGACCCTTCGGTCCTCAGGCTGATGCTCTATCCACTGAGCCACACTGGAGTTTTGAGCCAAATCACAATTTTCTGATTTATATATAGAGCCCTGTAGACCATGGAGCCATCTTGTGCATTTTATCTGTTCAATATTCTAAAAGGAATAGGCTTGGCCCAGCTGGTGTGGCTCAGTACTTGAGCATCAACCTATGAACCAGGAGGTCAGGGTTTGATCCCGTCAGAGCACATGTCCAGGTTGCAGGCCTGATCAATTATTCTCTCTCATCAATAATTCTCTCTCATCATTGATGTTTCTATCTCTCTCTCCCTCTCCCATCCTCTCTCAAATCAAATTTTAAAAAAACAGTTAAAAAATGATAAGTATTAAAAATAAAAGAAATATGTCTTTATTCCCTAGCCCAGTGGTCGGTAAACTGCAGCTCGTGAGCCACATGTGGCTCTTTGGCCCCTTGTGTGTGGCTCTTCCACAAAATACCACGTGCTGGGCGCGCGTGACCAGTGCGATGGAAACTTCGTGGCTCATGACCAGAAGTCGATATTTTGTGGAAGAGCCACACTCAAGGGGCCAAAGAGCCGCATGTGGCTCACGAGCCGCAGTTTGCCAACCACTGCCTTAGCCCGTTTGGCTCAGTGGATAGAGTGTCGGCCTGTGGGCTGAAGGGTCCCAAGTTCAATTCAGGTCAAGGGCACACGCCTTGGTTGCAGCCTTGATCCCTGGCCCAGGGCTGGGGCACCTGTGGAGGCAACCAATCAATTGTCCCTCTCCCATCAATGTTTCTCTCTGTCTCTCCCTCTCCCTTTCACTTTCTCTGAAACCAAATAACAATATCCTCGAATGAGGATTAACAAAATGACTAAATAAGAATAAATCTCCCTTTGAATCCCCCACACTGATGTGCCACCGCTGAGACAGGCAGGCGGTCCTCTGTTCCCACGCCCCGCCCCCCCCCCCAGAGCAGCTCAGGACCCTCCCCCTTGGCGTCCCCCCAGGGCAGAGCCTCACCTGCAGCACCTTGTGGGCGGAGGCCTGGCATCGCTCCTCCAGCTCCCGGATGTGGCTCTCGAGCTGGCGGCTCTGCTGGTCCAGGTCGGCCTCACTGACCCTCAGTCTCTGCAGAGTGCGCTGTTCCTCGCTCTCCAGTCTCCGCAGGTACGACCTCTCCTCCTTCCGCAGGAACCTGTGCAGGTTCTGGAAGCCCGCCTGGATTTTCTGTCTCTGAGCCTCTATCTTCTCCTACAGTCAAGAGAGGACGCTCAGCCCGGCCGGCGGGGCTCAGTGGTTGAGCGTCCACCTGTGACCCAGGAGGTCACATTGGATCCCGGTCAGGACACAGGCCCGGGTTTCAGGCTCCATCCCCAGTGGGGGGCGTGCAGGAGGCAGCCGATCCATGATTCTCTCTCCTCTTGGATGTTTCTATCTCTCCCTTCCTCTCTGACATAAATACAAATATAAAATAAAGTAAAGAAAGTTGGAAACCCAGTGGGGATGGCTCTGGGTAAACAGGCATGTTATTCTGCGGCTCCGACAGGCACTGGCCTCCTGGCCATTTCCTGCTGGAAGGAGGGGGGGAGGGGATGAGTTCTCATCGATGTGGACAAGGAGGGTAATGGCTTTTTCTCCGGGTTCCACCTGCTGCTCTGGTTCAGTGGCACCATCACTGTGCTTCGCCCGATCAGACCCTTTGTCTAAGCACCAGGACAGACAGAGCTTGACACCAAGAAATCCCTGTTCTTTTTCTGTTGTTGTCGTTAATCCTCAGCCCAGAATATTCTTTCCATTGATTGTTAGAGAGAAGGGAGTGGCAGAAAGTAGGGAGGGGAGAGAGAGAGAGAGGAACATCAATGTGAGAGAGACATGCACTATTGCCACCTGCTCACGCCCGACTGGGTGGAGACTGCACCTGAGCCCAGGGGGGTGCCCTCCAGCGGCCAAGGCGAGAGCCCCCCATTCTCACCTTCCACTGGGCTATCTGCTTCGCTGTGAATGCTTTCTGGTTCGTGCATTCCTCTTTCAGTTTCCTCATTTTCCTCACCGCTTCCTGGAGCTTTTCCTGGAGGAAGAAATGGAGTGACCCTTGCTGACCACATCTCCCTTCTCCCTCTGAAGGGAAGAACCTGGATGTCAGTGCCCGGGGCTCTCTCTGTCCCTGTCACCCTGACCCTCCTCTCGGCTAATGGCCAGGATGCCCTGTGCGGGAACCTAGACTGAGCTGATGGAAGGCTCGGCGACACCTGCCTTTCCCCACATGCCCCCGCCCCCTGGCTGTGCGTTTGCCACTGGCCCTCTCACAGGAGAGCCCTCTCTTTTCTCAGCACTCGTACATACCGTTAATTTTTTTTATTTTTAAAAATCTATACTAATAAAAGGGTAATATGCAAATTGGTCACAATGCCAGAGTCATGACTGGATATGCTAATGAGTTGTGACCTGATATGCTAACTAGTCCCAAACAGTATGCAAATTGACCATCTCGCCAACACAATAATAAGAGATGATATGCTAATTAGCCTTGATATGCAAATTGGTCGTGACCAGTATGCAAATTGACCATCCCTCCTACACACTAGATGGCCTGCAGGGGAGGGCAATTGGGGGCGATCAGGCCTGCAGGGAAGGGCAACTGGGGGCAACCAGGTCTGCAGGGGAAGGCCATTTGGGGCAATCGGGCCAGCAGGGGAGGGTAATTGGGGGTGACTGGGCCGGCAGGGGAACACTTAGGCATCAATCTGGCTGGCAGAGAAGTGGTTAGGGGGTGATCAGGCCGCCAGGCAGGCGAGTGGTTGGGAGCCAGCAGTCCTGGATTGTGAGAGGAATGTGACTGCCCGTTTAGGCCCCATCCCTGGAGCAGTCAGACATCCCTTAAGGGTTCCCAGATTAGAGAGGATGCAGGCACGGCTGAGAGAAACCCCATTCCCAATGCATAGATTTTGTGCACTGGGCCTCTAGTATGCATATATTGTTATTATTTTCAGAGAGGGAGAGAGAGAAACATCATTGATGAGAGAGAATCATGGATCAGCTGCCTCCTGATCACCCTTTACTAGGGAGCGAGCCACAACCTGGACGTGTGCCCGACCGAGAATCCAACAGGAACCTCCAGGTTCATAGGACGATGCTCAACCACTGAGCCACGCTGGCCGGGATGCATGGTTAGTGTTTAGGCTCCTTCAGGACTCACTTCTGGGAGGGCTCCCCAGGACCACCCACACCCGGGGTCCCCCTTCCCACTCCCCAGGCCATGGAGGCCGGGCAGTCCTTCCCCTGGTGCATCTTCCGTACTGGACAGGAGGCTGCCCATGAGGTGGCGTCCTGGTCCCTGTGCTTTCACTCCCCCAGGCGCCCCTGCACACGCACCATCTCATTACATTGACCCGAGAGGCAACAAAACGTGCAGGTGCGGCCCTGGCTGGTTGGGCTCAGTGGCTAGAGGCTCAGCCTGAGGCCTAATGGGACCCGGGTTGATTCCGGTCAAAGGCATGAACCTCGGCTGCTGTTTCCTGGCCCTGGTTGCGGCGCCTGCAGGAGGCAACCAATCCATGTCTCTCTGAGATCAATGTTCTCTCTCTATCCCCCTCCCTTCCACTCTCTCTAAAAATCAGTGGGGAAATATCCTCAGGTGAGGATTATCAAACAAAACAACACACCACTCGTGTGCATTTGAGCGCATGGGGCGCTGGAGCTGGGACCAGTTCATCACGCAGCCGGGACCTGGATGAGTCTGACCGTCCGGGGAAGGTGGAGCTGGACAACCAGGACTTGACAAAGGGAGGACCCACCCTCAACCTTCCCGCCCCCCCCTTACCCCCCCACCCCCACCCTACCTCCCCGCTGGAAGAAAGGACCACACGAGGAAAGCTAGAATTCAGGGTCCCAACCTTGGCCTCCAGGCTGGATGATGGGGGTATTGGCACCCGAGAGGTCACTGGGCTGGATGAGGGGGTCTCGGGCGCACGAGGGGTCACTCACTCTGTAGCTGGGTCCTGCGTCCTCCACAAGCGCCGTGTTGTGGCCCTTGTGCCGCCCATCGCGCTCGCAGCGCCAGCAGATGAGCTGGCCCTCGTTCTCGCAGAAGAGGTGCAGCCGCTCCCCGTGCTCCTGGCAGGACAGCTCCTGCTCCTGCTCCTGGAGGGCGGCGATGAGGCTGCCCAGCTGCTTGATGGGCCGCAGGCTGTCTCTCTGGAAGGGAGCCCGGCACTGGGGGCAGGGGAAGGTCTCCCTGTGTTGCTGGCTCTGTGAGGAGGAGCTCAGGCCCATGACCTGCAGGAGGCAGGCCTGGCAGTAGCTGTGGCCACAGCTGATGCTCACGGGCTCAGCCATCAGGTGCAGGCAGATGGAGCAGGTGGCCTCCTCCTGCATCTTCTTGCTGACGGAGGCCGACGCCATGCCTCTGCCGGAAGCTGCAATGCCGGACCCAGAGGCTCCACAGCAGAGGCAGCACACCCACCCCGGCTTCCTGTGGGCGCCCGGCTGCCAGGCCCCACGGGCCTGGAGGTCTTATCTGGAGGAAAGAAAGGTCTGCAATGTGAACGCTGCAGAGAGTGCAGCTGTGCTGTGGACGAGGGTGGGGACCCCAATTCCATTGACTAAAAAGAAACAGAATTTAACATGCAGATGCAGCCTCACCTGAGGATGTTTTTCCATTGATTTTTAGAGAGAGTGGTAGGGACGGGGGAGACAGAAGGAGACACACATCCATTGGTTGCCTCCCACATGCACTCCGACCAGGGCCAGAGATGGAACCCGCACCCAGGTACGTGCCCTTGAGCGCAATCCAACCCAGGACCCTTCAGTCCGCAGGCCAATGCTCTCTCCACTGAGCCGCACCGGGCAGGACTGGTTACATTTCCATTGCTTCATGGCCACCGGGGGCTGCAGGAAGCCCCAATAGAGACCATCCATCAGGAGGAAGCTGGTGTTGGAGCCCAGACACAGGGAGGGCGAGGGCAAGGCAGGATGCCCCCAGGGACCCAGTGAGGGTCCGGGGGACTCTCCCACCTGAGGAACATGAGGAATAATCGGAATAACTGGTTCCAGGACCGTTTCTTTGCAACTTAAGGAACTGGGTGGTTCAGGAAGATTCCACTGAAGCAGAGACTGTGGACCAGCTGAGCCTCTGCACCCCCAGCCTTTCTCCCCGACGGCCCCCCACAGAGAACAAAGGCTGGGCAGTGGGCTCAGTAGTTAGAGCATCCACTGCACACTGACATGTCATGGGTTCCATTCCCAAGGTCTCTCTCTCTCGCGCGCGCTCTCTCTCTCTCTCTCTCTCTCCCCACCCCTCTCCTGCCGCCCTCCCTTCCTTTCTCTGGAAGAAACAATAGAAAAAATCTCCTCCAGGGAAACCCACCCAGGATGGCCCCGAAGTAAACAAGGCACCTGAGACCCAGTGAGTCCTTCCACGCCTCCCTCCCCTGAGAGGCGCCCGGCCGGCTGGCTCAGTGGTTTAGCGTCAGCCTATGGACCAGGAGGTCAGGGTTCTGAGAAGGCTAAAAAGGGCTAATTCCAATGTAACCCTGATATTAGGGGTGGTGTTGAGGAGCTAGCAATCTGAATCTGTGCCAGCAAGCACAGTGTATATTCTTGATAAGTCACTATCTCTTTCCTAGAAACTGGTGTTGCAGAACCGGTTATCTAAATACAGAGGCCATAAAACTGTGAACAGCACCTTCCCCAGAGCGGGGGAGGAGGGGTTATTAATGCTGGTGCCAGGCCAGACCACCAGACATGGCCCGGAGAGTCCAAACACCTGGGGGCCTTCTTGGAAAGCCTGTGGAAAAGGACCAGAAGCATAATCCATATTTGGGGGACAAAGACCCCAGAGAGATATAAAAGAGAAGCCCACTACATGTTACTGTACTCAGATGGGAAAGTTATTCCCTGAGTCCGCGGCGTAAATAAACAGTGCCACTCCTTTTCTCTAAAAGCGTTGCTTGGTTTTTCTCTGGTCTTCTGCAACAGTTCCATTCCTGGTCAGGACACATACCTGGCTTGTGGGCTCGAACCCCAGTGGCGGGCGTGCAGGGGAAACATCATGGATGTTTCTCTTTCTCCCTCTCCCTTCCTCTCTGAAATCAATACAAATATTTTTTTTAAAAAAGAAAGACCTGGGCTGGGCAGAGAGGGCGGGTCCTGGAGGCCAAGTCAGGTGACCTCTCTCCTTCAGCCAGGACTGTCTCCCAGGAGAAGTTCCAGGCACCTGGAACCCTGGGGGACGAGGGGCGGGGGAACAAATGGGAAGACAAGACCCCAAGGTCCTCCAGGGAGGACCCAGGAACCAGAGAGCGAAGGAGGGACCCTGGGACCCTGGCCAAGGGCTGCAGCTCCTGGAGAGCCAGGCCTGCCCTCCTGGGGGCTGAGGGAGGCGGGCAGGTTGCAGATCAACCTTCCTGGTGTGGACGAAAGGGGCCACACGCTGACCTGTCAAGCTCAGGGAAGGCCTGTGTGGCAGCCTAGCAGACTCAGAGACCTAAAATAACCACAAAGGATGGTCTGAAATTAAACTTTAACTAAAAGCAGTGATGGTGGGCAGCTACGTCCTAAGCCGATATCTTCACTGACAAGGTCAACCTTTACTGTAACTTAGCCTGTCTGTCTTTTTGCATCTATGATAACATACCCTTGAAATGTCTGGGTAACCTGTAACTTCCCTTTTTCTGGAGCCCCTGGGGCACAGCCAAATGTGCTGGGCACCAGGACAGATACTACAAATTCCTTCATTATCATGTTAATTGTTCCTGCACCCACCTAAGTATGTGTCCATCATTTTACTTTTTATCCAATCCCAGGGGTTTCCTGCTTTGCTTTATCCCTCCTCCTTAATCTATCACCAATGGATTTCATGTAACTCACCTATGTCCCTCCTCTGATTTCAATGTATAAATACAGATGTAACCCGCCATTCTCTGGAGCACTATCTCAATTCGTTGAGGTTCTGCTTCCCGGCGTATGTCGACAGTTTGGCTCAAATAAACTCACAAAAATTCTTTACAGGTTTCAATGTTTTTTTTTACGTTAACACTGGGAACTGACAATGGAGGGAACACAACCAGGAATTCCCAGAAACCACTGGACCCCTCTTCCTCTAGAGCCAGGGCAGCCTCCGGAACCACAGAGAGTTTCTGCTCAGAGTCCCTTCCTGGGCGGGTGATTTCCCGGAGGAAACACACTGGGGTCCTCTGTGGCTGGGCTGTGTCCCCAGGACAGGACCTGCCTTCCAGGGGCCCTGGGGGCCTGTCCCGGCCTCCACTCTCCCCACCTCGCACCCAGATCTCCTGAGGTTGGAACAGCTTGGACTTTGGTGGAAGCGAAAGTGGCTTCGGGGAAGGTCTGTGGGGCGGGGGCCTGGAGGGACAGAGACCAGAGGCCCTGGTGTCTGAAACACGCCCCTCCCTACAGCCCGGGCCCCCCACCGCACCCCTTCCTGTCCTCACACCGGGTGTCATCTCCCTCCCTGGGAGACCCGCCCGGACCCTCCCCAGTACCTGGGCCACCACCGATGCCACACACTCGCTGGGCTGGAGGGAGTCCCTTGGAGCATCCACTTCCCAGGTCCTGAGCGGGACTCACATAGAAATGAAACTGCCTGTCGTGAGGGGCGGGGCGCTGTTGGATTTGGATTAGGGCCAGGAAATGGCCCTAAGGGTTTACAGGTGACTGGGCTGGGCCTGGCAGGGCGGGGAGAGGTGGGAAGAAGTCCTTCTTCTACAGCCACAGGAAAGGGGACAAGTCCTCACGGGGCCTGGGCTCTGGGCCAGCAGGAGCGTCTGAGGTCGGGGAGGGGCACCGCCCACAGGCCCGACTGCAGCTCTTCCTGCCGTGGCCACCGACCAACCCCCTCAGGGACCTTCAGCTTCTGGGTGGATGTTATTTTATTTTTTTGCTATTTTTTAAGTCCCTATTCTCTCATCACTGCTCTGAAGGGGGCGGTGGAAAGGGCTGGTGAGCTCCGTCCTCATTCTCCCCCTCAGTGTTGCTCTGCAGGGTCAGACACTGGTCAGCATCACCACCAGTCAGCACCCAGCTGGGAGCCGGGAGCCACGGGAGGCCCCAGCCACCGTAGTGATGGGGAAAATAAGACATTCTTGGGGAGCGAGCAATCTGAGTCTGTGCCAGTAACCCAACGTACGTTCTCAATAGCCTAAGATTAAACCAGTGCCCCTTTCTCCACAACCTGGTCTTTCAAGACAAGACCAGTTTACCTAAACACGCACAAACCATGAACCATATACAACCCCCGGAGGGGCTATCAGCTCTGGCGCCAGGCCAGGCCTTTGGATGAGGTCTCCTGGCCCCCATCCCAACAGACCGGGCTTTTGGCCAAGCCTGTGAAAGGTCCAGATGTCCCATCCATATTTGGAGGACAAAGAAACCAAAGGGTATAAAGGGAGAGCGTCCTCCATATTGGTTTGCTCAGGATTTGGAGAGAAGCAGTCTCCCCTGATTCCTGTACTAGCGCATGTGAAACGTCTGAAAATAAAGGTTTTCTTCCTGTGTCTCCAAGGACTCCTGTGTATTCTTCAGTCGCCTGGCAAATTCTGTAACAGTGGGGTTGGCACTTAGAGCAACAGGACTGCATGGCCCAGCCCGTGTGTCTCCGTGGTTGAGCACCCACCTACCTACAGGCCCGGGTTGTGGGTGGATCCCCAGGGCGGGGCCTGCAGGAGGCAGCTGGTCAGGGATTCTCTCTCACAATTTTCTTCCACTTCCCTGACAGCGCTTCTTAATGAATCCGCGTGTGAAACTGATCCCAGTGCTGAGTGTGCCCGCGGGTCAGGGTGGGCCAGGCTCTCACATTTCTGTGTGTGTGTGTGTGTTTGTACATATACATACATATATCTACATGTCTACACAGGCACCATAGGTAAATGTACATGTGTATATTCACACACATAATTCTACATGTATAGGCTATACGTGTTGGGCTTTTTGTAGTTATCTTTTTATTTAGTTTTATACTTTTTTAAATTTTTATTTTTTAAATATATTTTTTATTAACTTCAGAGGGGAAGGGAGAGGGAGAGAGAGAGAGAGAAACATCAGCAATGAGAGAATCATGGATTGGCTGCCTCTTGCAAACCCCCTCCTGGGGATCAAGCCCATAACCTGGACATTTCCCTTGACTGGAGTTGAACCCGGGACCCTTCAGTCTATAGGCTGATGATCTATCCACTGAGCCAAACCAGCTAGGGCAGTTTTATAATTTTTTTTTTATTTTTACCACCTTCATAGGTGCCCAAGTGTTGCTAGGGATGGATAAAAACTCCTTTCTCTCTCTGTTCCTGACTAAATCCTTCTACTTTTGGAAAAAGCAACTGATTTTTTAAAATAACTGTTTATCTTGTTTCCAGCCAGTTCACCAAATTCCCCTCACAACTTTCACTCTAATCCCCAGGCGTGTTGAACAGTCCTCATTCCCACACCCGGCTGCTTCCTGAAGGCCCTTCCCAGGTTACTGACTCATTCCCTTCCCGCGTTACTGACTCATTCATGCCGCCTCCTACGGGAAGGCCTCCGCTGACCCCTGTGCTTGGCAGGTCCCTACTGAATTGTTTGTTTCCATGACTTCCCACCCCAGTGTGTCTATATGTCCTGCCTCATGCCGTGGACTCTGAACTCTGTAGAGTAAAAGGTCAGCGATTAAACACATTGCTACTCTCAGAAGCCAGCTCCCTGCCTGGAGCACAGTAAATTCTATAAAGAAGAAAAGAGGGGAATGGCCCTGCTCCGATTGGAAACAGCTGCTTAAACCGGGCCAGCGAGATCTAGTTTTTAAGAGACTTGCTCATCTTTTCTGCTAAATCACTCTTGATATTTATAAATTACAGACACCTGTTTGTTTGTTTTATTTTAAATATATTTTTATTGATTTCAGAGAGGAAGGGAGAGGGAGAGAGAGACAGAAACATCAATGATGAGAGAGAATCATGGACCGGCTGCCTCCTGCACGCCCCACACCGGGGATGGAGCCCGCAACCCAGGCCTGTGCCCTGACCGGGAATCGAACCCTGACCTCCTGGTTCATAGGTCGATGCTCAGCCACTGAGCCCCGCCAGCCGGGCAACTTCTCACTTCTTGACGACCCACTTCCATGAGCACGTGTATCTCATTTGATTTGCTCACTGACCTCAGCTGAGCATGATAACCCGTCTTCACTGACATAGAAATCGGCCCAAAGAGGCTCCGTGACGCGCCCGAGGCCACAGAAAACACTAGAAGGTGGGCTTGGCCTCCCCTCGCCCAGCCCCAGGCCGCCTTCCCTTCAGGAAAAGTCTTGTTGATGTTTTCGGCTCTGGGCACCGTTCAAAACAGAAAAACATGGTGCCATCTTCTGAGATGCACCCCCTGCCAGTGAGAACGTGGACGTGAAGTTAAAAATTAAGCTGCAAAGCCAGACCCAGGCTCCCCGCCTGCTGCCGTGGGCCTCCCACGTGGCTGGTGTTTGTCTTTGTAAAACGGCAGGACGTTGGGAAGGGGAGAGGGGACAGAAGCGACTGCACGGCCGCCTGCGGTGAGGGCTTAGCAGACGGGTTAATGGTGAAGGTAAGCGCGTCTCTGCGCTCTGGGTGGGTGATAATCAGTCACGCACCAGAGGCCCGTCGGAGGCAGGGAGTGGGTGAGGGGAGGTCGGAGAAAGACCCTGAACGGCAGCCTCAGGGCCTCCCTCCGGGGATGGTTTCTGGTTGCAAAATCAAGAAGAGACTTTCTGAAGAGCCCTGGCCAGTGTGCTCAGTGGACAGAGCGTCGGTCCCCGGACAGAAGGGTCCTGGGGTTGATTCCAGTCAAGGGCATGCATGTACCTGGGCGTGCAGGAGGCAACCCATCAATGGGTCTCTCTCACATTGATGTCTCTCTCTGTCTCCCTCTCCCTTCCACTCTCTCTAAAAAAATCAATGGAAAAATATCCTGGGGAGAGGATTATCCAAACGATTTTAGAAAACTGAAAAAGGTGATCGATTCGATCAAGACCCTAGAGCAGGGCTTGGGGGCCACCAGGCCCAGGGGACACTGGGCGAGGGCGGCTCCTCCGAGGAGCCTGAGTGCTAACTGGGGGCCGTGGCATGTGGCCGGCTTACGCTGTGGAATAAAGCGCTGGACCCCAACCGGAGAGACCGTGGCTGCTCGACGGGAAAGAAGGGGGGAGGGGGCGGGGGGAGGGGGGAAGAGACGCAGGGAAGGGACCTGGAGGACAGCACGGTTGGGCTCACATTGGCCTGGAAGACGGGGCCCAGGCTGCCACTCGGGAGAAGTGCCTGGGCTCCTGCCCATCTCCCCGGCTGGGTCCAGTTGCACCTGTTGTTGTGGTTAATCCTCACCTGAGACCATTTTTCCATTGATTTTTAGGGAGAGTGGGAGAGAGCGGGAGAGACAGAGAGAAACACATCGATTGGTTGCCTCCTGCACGAGCCCCGACCAGGGCACGGCCCGGGAGGAGCCTGTAACCGAAGTGCGTGCTCTCGTGACAACCCTTCCAGCGTTGCCCACAGACTTTATTCTTCAGGGTTAAATTGCTACAGGAACTAGTGGCATCATAGGAATCACCTGCTGGGATAACCAGTTTTATTTAGAACCACCCGTCTTCTGAAAGGTGGGCAGTGGCACGAACCCAGAAACAGTCACGTTTCCACTTATTCCCTGAAGTTTGTGTCGAGTGGCATCCCTTGCTCACCCACCATTTGAGGGAAAGAAAGAAAGAAAAGGAAGCCCTGACCGGTGTGGCTCAGTGGACAGAGCGTCCGCCTGCGGACTCAAGGGTCCCAGGTTCGATTCCGGTCAAGGGCATGTACCTTGGTTGCAGGCACATCCCCAGTAGGGGGTGTGCAGGAGGCAGCTGGTCGATGTTTCTAACTCTCTATCCCTCTCCCTTCCTCTCTGTAACAAACCAATAAAATATATTTTTTTAAAAAATAAAGAAAAGGAAAAGTTTAAAGTGAAAAGTTTCAGGCCAATTGAACCATCAAAAGCATGTTTATAGTAACGTGTGTCCGCTTCGAGCCTCCATGCAGTCACCCGACAGACCGGGTGCCAAGCTTGGGACTGTCTGTCCTCCCTGCCGCCGTGAGCATGGATCGCACGCGACGCCGTGAGCTGTCCTGGGTGAGGAGGCGCATCTCAGACCCCCGTTCCCACGCGCTGGCCCCTGCTTCCAACGAAACGAGTGAAAAGGCTCAGGGAGCCCGGGGAACTGCTCTGGCTTTGTCCAACCTTGTTCCCAGAACGGCCGGGACTGGTCCCCGCGCCCTTCGACCTGCAGGTTCCTGCTCCTTCAGCCACGTGGACATTTACCCTGAGCAAACAAGGAGGCTCGCCAGCAGGGTGACGCAAGGCGGCTGCATGTTAGGGGAGCCCTGAGGGCAATAACAACAGGTGATAGGAAATGGGCTGGGCCGCCCGCGTGTCTCAGTGGCTGAGCGTCGACCTATGAGCCAGGAGCTCACGGTTGGATTCCCGGGCAGGGCACAGGCCTGGGTTGCGGGCTACATCCCCAGTGGGGGGCGTGCAGGAGGCAGCCCATCCATGATTCTCTCTCATCATTGGTGTTTCTGTCTCTCTCTCCCTTCCTCTCTGAAATCAATAAAAACATATTTTAAAATAACAACAACAAAACAAAGGGTTTGCTGATGCCGAGAGCAGGCAGCGGAAACGCGAGAAGTGATTGTGGGTCCTGCGTTGGCTTGTCCTCCCCTAGATCAGAGCCTGTCGCGGCGAAAGAGACTCAGGGCAGGGGCGCCTCTGCCCCCACGTGCGGAGCCGCCTCCCGGAGGAGCCCCATGGACGAGAAGCCGTCCGCCAGGAGAGGTAACGCCACCCGCCGGGCTGGCTGCTGCCGCGTGGAAGGGCGGACGGGTGTCCCGCGTCCCCGGCACCTCCTTGCTCTGCTCCCCTCCTCCTCCCATCGCGCCTCCGCGGACAGTGGGACCCACTCCAGCCCCTCACCCTGTCGCCTGTTGTTGCTTCTTCCTCAGGGAGCCCCACTGAGTTATGGGCCAGAAATTAAGCCCAGCGATCAGCGAGTCCTAGGACATAAGGAATGGAATGGGTCTGAAAAAGTCATTTTATAGAAACCCTCAATGCGTGCATGAATTCCTGCGATGGTATCCTTGCCAGGGAGCTGGCTGTGTGTGTCCCCTGAGCTGGGAATCTCCAGGAATAAGGAAATAATTCTTTTCCAGGCGGCCCATCCAATCCCTGAGCCACCTGGCCATGAATGAGGATTTCTTCCACAACGCAGGGTGTCCCCCCAAAATGCACACACACGCTAACATATTCAAAGTGCGTAGACATTTTTGGGGGGACACCCTGTGTTCTCCTCTATTTCCTCCCAGGTTCTCTCTTGTTTCTCTTTAGTCCAAATTCTCCAAATATGCAAAAATATTTACGCTCAGGTGCGTGAAGACGCTGGGTTGGGTAGAGCATCGGCCTGATACCCCACGGTGGCCGGTTCGGTCCCCTTCAGGGCCCATGCAAGAGCCGGCCTCTGAGCGCACCCATAAGGGTCACGGCAAACCGGTGTTCCCCTCTCTCTACAAACAAATTAAAAAAATGCCCAAAAAGAAGACCCTGGGTGTGTGACTAGCTTCATTCGAAGGCAGCCGGCTGTCTAGTCGAAACTTCCAAGATTTTTTTGGTAAATGAATATGCAGACCAGATGGGGGCTGACGGGCACCTGGGGGAGGTGTTGTGGGAGGCTCTGCCGCCCTCTCCCCGCTCACTTCGTTTGGGAACAATGGGCGTCAGTGCCATCATGTAGCTCGTTCTATGTTTATCATCTGCTTCCCATCGTGGCTTTGCTTGGTGATGGGATCCCAGATTCAGGGCCTGAAGCCGACTAAAGGGAAGGACCGAGGAGGGTTGCGTTTTAGTGAAAAGAGAGAGGGGGACTGTGGTGTTTTTGTTGTTGTTTTTTAAATATATTTTTATTGATTTCACGGAGGAAGGAAGAGGGAGAGAGAGAGAGAGAAACATCAATGATGAGGGAGAATCATGGATCGCCTGCCTCCTGCACTCCCCACACTGGGGATCGAGCCCGAAACACAGGCAGGGGGCCCGACAGGGAATCGAACCCCGACCTCCTAGTTCATAGGTCGATGCTCAACCGCTGAGCCCCGCCGGCCGGGCCCGCGGCGTGTTTTTCACTGGGAGGAGCAATCGCCGCCAGGAGCCCCCACTTTCCCCCCGTCCTTCCCAGGCCCGGATGTCTGCTCCTTGCGCTACGGGCTGGCCGTGGTCATGCACCTCTCCAACCTCAGCATGATCACCCAGCGCGTCAGCCTCAGCATCGCCATCATCGCCATGGTCAACGGCACCCAGCAGCCCGCCCCGGCCAACGCCTCCGCGGACCGCCCCCTCCAGGACCCCAGCGGGCCCATCGGGGAATTCCACGCAGGGGTGAGTGGGACGGGGAGCAGCCCTTTGTTGGGCGGGCATCCCCAGTGTGAAGGGAAGGCTTCGATCTCAATTCTGTGGATGGAGAAGCATGGATTTCGTTTTATTTTATTTTTAAAATATACTTTTATTGATTTCAGAGAGAGGAAGGGAGGGAGGGAGAGAGAGAACCCGGGCCATTAGTTACGTTAAGTGGACAGTATTCTGTAGTCACGGTTTGTGCCTCCATGTACACCAGGATGTGTCCTGTCCAGCGGCCACCACCAGCCATTTATCGTGCCGCCTCGGGAGAGGAAGGTGGCCGCGCTCCTGGTCTAGGAAGCCGGTTCTGCACAGGCGGCCATCGCCCCTGACCTGATGTTAGGGGCTGAGTGGATGGGCCAGGAACGCTGGTCTCCCTTACCCTTTGGAATGAGGGTCCGCGTGCCACCCAACTTTGACCAGAAGCAAATAGTGCAAGGGAGCTCTTCTGCCGGCGGAATCTCTCTCGCCGTCTCCTTCGCTGAGCCCTCCGGCCGCCCATTCGTGCAACCCTTTCTTCATCGCTTTTCTCCTTCGTACCCTCTGCCTTTCCTTCCTCCGAGAGGAGCAAAGGAGGGTTCTAACCGGTTGGCTCAGGGGAGAGAGCGTTGACCTGCGGACTGAAGGGTCCCAGGTTCGATTCCCGTCAAAGGCACGTGCCCGGGTTGCTGGCTCGATCCCCAGTAGGGAACGTGCAGGAGGCAGCCGATCAACAATTCTCTCTCATCATTAATGTCTCTCTCTCTCCCTCTCCCTTCTTCTCTGAAATCAATAAAAATATATTAAAAGTAATTAGGCATATAATTAGTTTTTTTGGAAACGGTGGGATATTTAAGCTAGACTTTAAAAAAGAAAAAAGAGAGAGAAACCAAATATGACCTTTCATGGGAGGCCCCACCAACCACAGCCGCTCTGGTTGGGAAGCCCCATTCTCAGCCATGAATTTCCCTTTTCTCCTCCTTTCCAGTCCTCCGTCTACGCATGGAGCCCCGAGACCCAGGGCATCCTCTTCAGCTCCATCAGCTACGGGATTTTGCTGACTCTGATCCCCAGCGGATACCTGGCGGGGATATTTGGTGCCAAGCACATGCTGGGGGCGGGGCTGCTGGCCTCCTCCCTGCTCAGCCTCTGCACGCCGCTGGCCGCTGACCTGGGCGTGAGCTTGGTGATGGTGATTCGCGTCGCCCAGGGCATGGCCCAGGTACCGGAGGCGGAGGCGCTCTCCCCCGGGGGGCGGGGGACGGACTCCGGAGTCCTGCTGGCGAGTGAAGGTCTGAACGGTTTTCATTTCAGGGAATGGCATGGACAGGTCAGTTCACCATCTGGGCGAAGTGGGCGCCCCCGCTGGAGCGCAGCAAGCTCACCAGCATCGCGGGCTCCGGTAAGGGTTCCCATGCGGGTCGCAGCCCTGTGACCGGCCTCCCCCTCCCCCGCCTTCCCTTGGCGGGATCGGACGGTTTGGGGGAGAGGGATTGCAGTTCTCCCATCGATAACCCACCAATAATGATAGAGAGTCACCAGTCGGCTGCCTCCTGCACCCCCCACACCGGGGATGGAGCCGCCACCCGGGCCCGGGCCCTGGCCGGGAATCGAACCGTGACACCCTGGTTTGTAGGTTGGTGCTCAGCCACCGAGGCGCGGGGGCCGGGCTGAATGTATTGTTTCTTTTCTAAAAGTGGAAAGGCCTCCTGCTGTGGTCACTTCTTTGAGTCTCATAGTTTCATGGGCTCTTGTACGTACAAAATCAAATTTGTTTTTCTCCTGTTAAAAAAAAAACACAACAAAAAAAACAAGTCCTAACCGGTTTGGCTCAGTGGATAGAGCGTCGGCCTGCGGACTCAAGGGCCCCAGGTTCGATTCCGGTCAAGGGCATGTACCTTGGTTGCGGGCACATCCCCAGTAGGGAGTGTGCAGGAGGCAGCTGATCGATGTTTCTCTCTCATTGATGTTTCTAACTCTCTATCCTTCTCCCTTCCTCTCTGTAAAAAATCAATAAAATATATTTAAAAAAACTTTTAAAAAACAAATTCTCCCAAATCCAATACTGGGAGACGGTTACGTAGACAAGAAACGCATGAGGCTCGGCTCAGAAAAGTCCACCGTGAGCGACAAGAGCACCTGGGGGTTTGAGGGGGCGGGGGGTAGGGGGGGACCAGTGTAGACACGGCTTAGCACAGATAGACATGCGGGAGCCGCCTGCGGGAACTGGGGGTGGAGAGGAGAGAGAGGCTGGACGTGGAACGGCCATGGCACCCCCCCCCCCCCGGGCCGCGCAGTCCGGGGAGCAGGGTCCGTGTCCGTCTTCCCTCTTCTGTCCCCAACCTCCTGGTGCTCCCTGCCAGCTGGCACCTCTGGTTATAAGGAAAGAAGGTGAGCCCGGCAGGCGTGGCTCAGTGGTTGAGCATCAACTTGGGAACCAGGAGGTCACGGTTTGATTCCCAGTCGGGGCACAGGCCCGGGTTGTGGGCTCGGTCCCCAGTGTGGGGTGTGCAGGACACAGCCGATCCATGACTCTCGCTCACCATTGGTGTTTCTTTCTCTCTCCCTCTCCCTTCCTCTCTAAAGTCAATACAAATATATTGAAATAACAAAAAACAGGAAAGGGGGTGGGCTGTGGATTTGGCCAGGCTGGTGCCACGGGGGTTATTGTTTTGATGAAGATGGATCCTCGTTCCTTCCCGTGACTTCACTGGGCAGATCTCTCCTCACCCAGCCACTCCGAGTTGGCCACCTCACTGCTGGGGCGACGTCCAGGGCGGCCAGGGGCCTCGGCCCCCCGGGTTCACACGTGTCTCCCTCCGCCTTCTCCTCAGGGGCCGCGCTGGGGTCCTCCCTCATCCTCTGCGTCGGGGGGCTCATCTCACAGGCCCTGGGCTGGCCCTTCATCTTCTACATCTTCGGTGAGTGAGTCGCGTCTCTCACCCTCAACGCCACCACATCCCGGCGTCCGGCCACCTTCCTCCCGCGGGACAGTCCTGGTCCTCCGTTACCTGGAAGGTGGCGGGAACGGGAGTGGCTTCGTCTAGTCCAGGAGGGGGCCGTGCTCAGGTGTCTGCAGAGGGTGACCGATGGCCGTCGCTACTGGAGGGAGGGTAACTGGAGAGCTAAAAGGAGATTTGTAGAGCCCGGCCGGCGTGGCTCAGGGGTTGAGCATCAACCTATGAACCAGGAGGTCATGGTTGGATTCCCCATCGGAGCACAGGCCCCGGTTGAGGGCTCGATCCCCAGTGGGGGGCGTGCGGGAGGCAGCCGCCCGTGATTCTCTCTCATCATTGATGCTTCTATTCCTCTCTCCCTCTCTCTCTTTCTAAAATCAATAAAAATATATTTATAAAAAAATTAATTAATTTAAAAAAGGAGATTTGTACAAGAATTGATAGAGCCATAGCCAGTTTGGCTCAGTGGATAGAGCACTGGCCCGCGGACCGAAGGGTCCCGGGTTTGATTCCAGTCAAGGGCATGGGCCTTGGTTGCAGGCACATCCCCAGTTGAGGGTGTGCAGGAGGCAGCTGATGGATGCTTCTCTCAAGGATGTTTCTCTCTCCTCCCTTCCTCTCTCTAAAATCAATTTTAAAATATTTTTAAAAATTGACATGAGGTGGGAACGTTGAGGTCCTTGAGATGGAATAACCATGAATTGGCGTGTGTGCAAGTGTGTGTGCATGTATGCATGTGTGCACTCGTGTGTGTGTGCAGGTGTGTGTGCGCGCGCATGTGCATGTGTGTGTTTGGGGGGAGGCAATACCACGTCAGACAAACTCCCTCCCGCAGCCCACAAATCCCCTGAGAACTAACTGCGTCCGGCTCCCCAGGTGGCCTGGGCTGCGTGTGCTGTCTGCTGTGGTTCACCGTCATTTACGACGACCCCATGGGTCACCCGTGCATAAGCCTCCGCGAGCAGGAGCACATCGTGTCCTCGCTGGCTCAGCAGGTACCTGCGCCCCTCCCCGCGGGACCCGCAGAGGTGATGGGCGGGGCTCCCAGCACCTGCACCCCCTCCCCCCCGCCCCCGCCCTGCAGAGGTGAGTGGGGCTCCCAGCACCTGCACCCCTCCCCCGGGGCCCCCGCAGAGGTGGGTGGGTGCTCCCAGGAGGGGCCCTCTGACGTCCGAATACCCACGTGGATGCGCTGTGTCCTCTCAGCCCACGTCCCCTCGACGCTCCGTCCCCCTCAAGGCCATGGCCCGCTGCCTGCCCCTGTGGGCCATCTTCTCGGGGTTCTTCAGCCACTTCTGGCTCTGCACCGTCATCGTCACGTACCTGCCCACCTACGTCAGCTCCGTGCTGCACGTCAGCATCAGGGAGGTGCGCTGCCCGCCGGGAGCGAGGGGGGCGGGAGGGCTGGCTCCCTGCTCCCTGTCCGCCTGGCTTTGCACGCACCCGCCAACCCTGGAGGCGACCTTGAGGGGCACCCTAAGGACCCCCAGGGGACGGGCGTGGGGACGGGACACGTAGAGGTGAGAGGACGCCCCGGATCACAGGGCTGCTCAGGGACAGGGTGCTGCGGTCTGTGCCCCTAACCGCCAGGCTACCCGACCACACTTCATTCTTCTGGGGGGAGGGGTTGTTTGTTTTATTTTTGTTTTGTTTATTTTGTTTTTCTCTCACACCTCATTCTTAATTCTTCAAGTTCTCTCAGGGATTTATACTGTTTGCCCTCACCGGTTTGTCTCAGAGCGTCGGCCTGCGGACCACAGGGTTCCGGGTTCGAACCACGTCAAGGGCACATACCTCGGTTGCAGGCTCTTCCCCAGCCCAGGCCCTGGTCGGGGCACGTGCAGGAGGCAACCCATCGATGTGTCTCTCTCACATCAATGTCTCTCTCTGCCTCTCCCTCTCTCTCCCTCTCTCCCTAAAAATCAGTGGAAAATTATCCCCAGGTGAGGCAGGTGCCCGGCCTCTCACCTGAGACGGTGACACTAGTTCCCCTAAAACGGCTAAGTGTCCGGAGGGGCTGCCGTCCGTGGGACGCGGTCTCACCCGTTGGCTTCCTGCCCGCAGAGCGGGGTCCTGTCCGCCCTGCCCTTCGTGGCTGCCTCCACCTGCACGGTCCTGGGGGGCCAGCTGGCCGACTTCCTTCTGTCCCGGGACCTCCTGGGGCTCCTCACCGTCCGGAAGCTCTTCTCGGCCCTGGGTAAGGACAGGCCCCGGGCTCGGGGGACCCACCCCGCTCCGCGTCTGGTCCGAGCGGGTCCTGACCGTCCGCCCCGCCCAGGCCTCCTGCTCCCGTCGCTCTGCGCCGTGGCCCTGCCCTTCGTGGCTTCCAGTTACATGACCACCGTGGTTTTGCTGATCCTCATTCCCGGGACCAGCAACCTGTGCGACTCGGGGTTCATCATCAACACCTTGGACATCGCCCCCAGGTGAGACCTTAAATGCTGGTTCCGCCTCCAAGCCACTTGCTGCAGGGGCGCCAGGCCTCCATCCTGTCATGAGTTGGGTTTTTTTTTTAAACTATGTTTTTATTGATTATTTTTTAGAGAGAGAGGAGGAGAGAGGGAGAGAGAGAAAGAAACATTGACGAGAGAGGAACATCACTGATTGGCCGCCTCCTGCCTGACCCCTATCAGGGATCCAGCCCGAAACCTGGGCATGCGCCCTGACCGGGAATCGAGCCCTCACCCCCTGGTTCATAGTTGGATGCTCAACCACTGAGCCACGCCGGCTGGCCGGCCAGAGGCAGTTTTATTTTTATATTTTTATTGATTTCAGAGAGGAAGGGAGAGGGAGGGAGAGAGAGAAACATTAAAGATGAGAGAGAATCATTGACCGGCTGCCTCCTGCACCCCCCACACTGGGGATCGAGCCGAAACTTGGGCCTGTGCCCTGACCGTTTTGGCCAGGAATCGAACTGTGACCTCCTGGTTCATAGGTCGAAGCTCAGCCCTGAGCCGCGCCGGCCGGGCCTGGGTGCTCCTCATGTACCCCCACGCCCAGTCCTCACAGCCCCACGAGGCAGGCGGGCCCCTTGGGGCAAGAAGGTCAGGTGACGCGCCTGAGGCCACACCAAGGCAGAGCCAGGTCTGAACCCAGGCGTTCTGTCCGGAGCCGGTTGTCCTGTCCCCTCCGCACACCGCCAGGCGGGCACCTGGGCCCCGGGGACAGCGTGGCTCCCTGGTTCTGGTTCTGGTGGCGTCAGGGCCGGCACAGGTGTATGTGGCCCCAAATGTCTTGGGGCGAGGGAGACACGGCCCGCCCGGAGCTGAGTGGCGGGAAAGCCGTCTTTCCGCCCGAGGAAAGGCCGCCAAGAGCGCTGGCGGCGAGCCCGTGCCCTCCTCCCCGCAGGTACGCCAGCTTCCTCATGGGCATCTCCCGGGGATTCGGGCTCCTCGCGGGCATCATCTCCTCCACGGCCACCGGCTTCCTCATCAGCCAGGTGGGCGGCGCTGAGTGTGTGCGAGCGGCAGGTGCTGTTTTGGGCCCGGGGGGCGCACAGTAGGGCCTCTGCGCTCCGGGACTGTGTGGTCTGAGGGCAAGGCGGGCACGGATGCTGACACGCTGCTCTGCTCCGAGCAGGACCGTCCATGGGCTCCGAGAGCTCAGGTTCCGGGGGGCGGGGGGGGGAAGAGTAAGACACAAATTTCTAAAAATGAACGACACCAAGTTGATGGAAACGAGCGGTTCGGGCAGAGAAAAGCGGCTCGGGGTGAGTTTCTAGAGACGCAGACGCAGGCGGAGGCTCTCGGTGACGCCAGAGTGAAGGGCAGGTTTCTTTTTCTTTTTCAACCCTCAACCGAGGACATTGTTCCTGTTGGTTTTCTGAGAGAGTGGGGGGCAAGGGGGGAGACACCCCGATGTGGGAGACACTTGATTGGTTGCCTCCCACACGCCCCTGACCAGGGCCCGGAGCCTGCAACTGAGATATGTGCCCTTGACTGGAACCGAACCCGGGACCTTTCAGTCCTCAGGCCGAGGCTCTATCCACTAAACCACACCAGCTAGGGCATGAAGGGCAGATTTCAAGGTAGGAGAGGAAGACGGGCGAGGGCAGGTGATGAAGAGGCCGCTCAGAAAGGCCGGTTTAAAGAGGTTCGTCCTGGCGGACACGCAGGGGGCGTGGCAGGAGGCTGGCTCCACAGGACGTGGGCGGAACCCGGCCTGGATGGGAGGACGAGAGTCAACGTACACAAACATTTTCTTTTTAAAAAAAATATATTTTTATGGATGTCAGAGAGGAAGGGAGAGGGAGGGAGAGAAAGAAACATCAGTGATGAGAGAGAATCATGGACCGGCTGTCTCCTGCACTAGGGATCAAGCCCGCAACCCGGGCCTGTGCCCTGACCGGGAATCCAACCGTGACCTCCTGGCTCATAGGTCGATGCTCAACCCCTGAGCCACGCCGGCCGGACATGAGGATGAAATCTTAGTGATGTCCTTTTAAGCATAATTTTCTATGAGGAGTAGGGTGTGTTCATGACTACTGAGATCCCAAATCCAGAAAAACATTCGCGTAGGTGAATTAGTTCTGGTTTAAAGAAAAACAGAGTCGTTTTCCTCCCAAGGTTCATGAAACCTTCTCCGATAACCCAAGACACGTGGCCGTGGCAGGGCATGCCCTGTGTTCTCTGGGGTCAGCGTGTCACCCCAGCACGGAGGGCTTCCGGCCCTGGTGGGGAAGGGACCCCGAGCACAATGACCCTGGCTTTCTCCCCAGGACTCCGCGTCCGGGTGGAGGCACGTCTTCTTCCTGGCTGCCGCCGTCAACCTGTTCGGCCTGGTGTTCTACCTCACGTTCGGGCGGGCGGAGCTCCAGGACTGGGCCAAAGAGAGGACCCTCACGCGCCTCTGAGGGCCCCAGCGCAGACGTCGATGTGGGACGCGGGCCGCCCGCTTCTCAGCGTTTTCTTACTCGTCTTCACTCTTCACGTTCTTCTCTTCGCGGCCGGCTCCGCAGGTCACACCTCCGAGTGAGAGTCAGACTTTCCTGGGGAGCCTCTGAAACAGGCGGACGTGTGGGCGCCGCTCCGAGAGCCCGAGCGCATGGGTCTGGGGAGCGCCCCGACATCAGTGAGTCTTAGACACTCCCCGGGGCTCTCACCCAGCCAGGCCGGCAACAGCTGGACACGCTTGTAACACCAATTCCCCTGCCTTTGTTTTCTGTTTTGGTTTTTTTAAATGTATTTGTATTGATTTCAGAGAGGAAGGGAGAGGGAGAGGGAGATGGAAACATCATCGATGAGAGAGAATCATGGATCGGCTGCCTCCTGCACGCCCCACACAGGGATCAAGCCCAAAACCCGGGCCTGTGCCCTGATGGGGAATCGAACCCTGACCTCCTGGTTCATAGGTCTACATTCAACCACGGAGCCGCGGGCCGGGCAATTCTCGTTGCCTTTGACTTTCCCTCTGTGGACAGTGCTGGTGAATAAGACTCCCTGTGGGAATAAAGACTGGTTGGTTCTTCCCGGGGTGAGACCTGCCGGGACCTGTGCCCATGTCACAGAGCCGCACCCAGGGCAGCGCGTGAAACCGTCGCCCCAGCAGGAGCAGGCCTGTCGGGCCATAGATTGTGAAACCTGCGTGTTTCTTCATGGGGTTCCCGTCTATTAAAACTCGGACGCTAAAATGAAAGAGCCCCTGTTCCAGTTATTTGGGATGCTCCCCTCAGGCGACACAGGTGTTGGTCCTCCTGGCTGCATCCCAGGAGTCTCGGCCAGGACACGGCCAGGAGAAGACGGCCCGGCCGAGGTGAGCGGACGTCCGCGGAGAGAGAGGGCGGGACCGGAAAGCGGGCGCCTGCGAGCAGGAAGGAGGTGAAACGGGTCTTTCAGGAATGGAGTCAGCGAGGGTCTGAGGAAGGCCTAGCGGAAACCACTGTGGAAGCCGCTGGCTTTTGATTTTCGAGCCCATGCAGGGGCCGCGGGCCCTCGGAGTGGCCCCCCGAGTGCAGAGGCCTCGCAGAGAAACAGCCGACAGCCGGGGGACACCTCACCCCAACGCCGGCCTTCCTCCGGTTACAGCGCGGGGGTCACTTGGCCTCGGACTTCAGATGAGGGTTCGGAGCCTAATTAACGAAACGCTTTCAGAACACAACGGGGGCCCGCGCTGGTGTGGCTCAGTGGATAGAGCGTCGGCCTGTGGACTGAAGGGTCCCGGGTTCGATTCCCAGTCAGGGCACAGGCCCGGGTTGCGGGCTTAATCCCTAGCGGGAGGCGTGCAGGAAGCAGCTGATCAGTGATTCTCACTCATCATGGATGTTTCTATCTCTCTCTCCCTCTCCCCTCCTCTCTGAAATAAATAAAAATATATTTAAAAACAACAGCAACAAAAAAACCCACAACGGGCCACAAAACACCCAGAGCTGCGGCGCCCCCAGGTGTGCGGAGGATTGCGGGAGGGTCTGAGCTCACCGCCCACTATCCTGCAGACAGCCCCACTTCTCCCCTAAAATCGCTGATGAGCTGATCAAGGCTCTGCTTAATCGCAGCAGCGACGGGGCAGGGCCCGCCCTCCATGCGCAGGGGCCCCCGCCTTCCCGGAGGTGCCCGGACTCTGCACCTGGACCCCCATGGCCAGGCCTCCGGGGTCCCCGGAGTCCAGGTGGCGGACGGGACCCTGTCCCCCTGCTAAGGCGGGTCCTCCTGCTGACGTTACCATGGAAACTCCCTGCTCTGGGCCTGGCCTCCCGCCTCCTCTCGCTGACGTGCTTTCCAGGATCAGTCTGGGCGCCGCGTGCCTGCCGCTGGCTCAGCAGTTCGGGGTCACCGTCCGCGGCCCCTCCCCACCCACTCGGATTTCACATTTCCCGCTGCCCTGGGTTCTGCTGGCTCCCCGTGAACCCCCCCCCTCCCCAGACGTGTACCTCCCTCGCTGGTCGTCCTCTCATCTCAGCCTTCACTCCCCCGCCTGGGACTCCCCGCAGGCCACAGGGCCCAGGCCCTGACTGCCGGGCGCTCTGTCTCCCCCTGGAGACTCCGGCGCTCACACTCCCGCCCCCAGGAAGCCTGGGGAGCCTCCCGGGCAGTCAGCTGGCCGCCTCCGAGGTCCTGCTCACACCTTATTTCTAAATATATTTTTATTGATTACAGAGAAGAAGGGGGGGAGAGAGAGAAGCATCCGTGATGAGAGAGAATCACGGGGCGGCTGCCTCCTGCACGCCCCCTCCTGGGGATGGAGCCTGGGCCCGGCTTGTGTTCTGACCGGGAATCGAACTGTGACCTCCCGGTTCCTAGGTCAGTGCTCAGTCAACCAGGAGCCACGCCGGCCGCACGCACCATGGGTGGTTTTAAGGCCCACATGCCTCCCCTGAAGATTCAAGGCAAAGGTGAACGTGAAGTTAAAAATTAAGTTTTTAACTTTGACATCATGAGGTCAAAGGATTGGGTGAAGGCTTTGCAGGGCGTGGAGTTGGGAGGAAGCCTCACGGGAGGGAGGAGGCCTTCTGTCCGGAGCCAGGCCCGTCTTCCGCTCCTGCCGCCCATGCAGTGAGCCAAGCAACCGGCCGGAGGGCCTCCCCGTCACGGTCCCAGAAGGTGCTTCCAACCCATCTGGGGACGGTTTGCTGGGAAATCTATTTTCACAGGTTTTCACAAGGGAAAGAGGGAAGAACACGCATCAGGGACGAGTGTGCAGTGCGGCTGTGTGGCTAGACTCGGAAAGAGAGTGTGTGGTGGGGGTGTGGTGCTTGTGGCTGAGCGGTGTGCTGGCGAGGGTATGGATCAGTGTGTCCGTGGGGGGTGGGGGGTGTGTGTGACTGGGATGTGTGGTGGGTACAGCTAGTTGCATGGATGTGCTGTGTGTGGTACTGAGATGTATTTGTATGTGTGGAGTGTAAGTGTGTGGAGTTTGTGTGTCTATGTGTGTGTGTGTGTGTGTGTATGGGGGGGTGTATTTGTGTGTGTGGGGGGGAGTGTGTGTGTGTTATGTGTGTGCGTGTGTCAGCGAATGCAGACCTGGGCCAGCGGCCACTCTGTCCGGGGTCGGGGTGCAGAGCGGGTGCTCGCCTGGTGCGGTGACGCCCACAAGGAGAGCTTGCAGCTCTGCCAACACCTAAGGGAAGAAAGGCATTTCTCTTCCGACGTTCCTCCTTCCTCCGGTGCCTCCACGCTCCTGGCCTCAGCCGCAGCCTCTGCCTAGAACGCCCTGGGGCTCCCTGTGGGCAGTGGGGGCCTTGCTTCCGCTGTCGGACAAGGTCTTTACGTCTCTCACTTTTGAGGGTTACTCTCACCAGATATAAAACCAAGGATTAGCAGGGCTTTCAGTTTGCCGTCTACAGTGTTCAGGTTTCCTGTAATCAACAACAGCGACGACAAAACCTCCGAAATACAACGTCAGAGGCAGCACCGGTGACAGCCTGTTTCCTTTGACGCGTCGTTTAGATCAGAGGGGAGCCGGAGGGGTGGGGTCGGCTCCTCCCGGGTCCTGCTGACGTCAGTGCGTCTTGAACTTGCAGAGGACGGAGAGCAGACCCTTCGGCGAGAGGAGCAAGAGCCGGACCACCATGAAGCAGATGGACGACGGGTCCCCGTCCAGGAGAGGTAGACGTGCTCCCTGACCCCTCCCGCGGGCCTTCTCCTTCTTAGGCACGCACCCCAGGGTCCAGGCGAGAGGAAGCTTCCGTAAGAGCATGTGACGGGTCTTAGCTCCACGGCGCGGCTCAGTGGTTGAGCGTCGACCCATGAACCAGGAGGTCACGGTTCGATGTCCGGTCAGGGCGCTCCATCCCCCGCTGGGGCGTGCAGGAGGCAGCTGATCCATGATCCTCTCTCATCATGGATGTTTCCATCTCTACCTTTCCCTCCTCTCTGAAATCAATAAAAGTATATATTTTTTAAAAGTAAAATATACCTGAGCCGAAGTCCTTGGAGGACTTAATTCTCCGGGACATTCTAGATGGGATTATGTCTTAGGGGCTGTGGGGTCATGACATCAGTCACACACCTTCCTATGGGGCCACCAGGCTCAATACAATTTCAAATTAACACCTGGGGGCCCCGATTTCCGAGGGGCCCTGCCTACAGTGAGAAGCGTGTGTGTGTGTGTGTGTGTGTGTGTGTGTGTGTGTGTGTGTGTGTATGTGTGTGTGGGGGTGTGTGTGTTGGGGGTGTGTGTGTGGGGGGGCCTCAGCTGTGTTCACGTGGGTGTGTCCTGCTCTCCTTCCCAGTCCCCAGCTTCTGTTCCCTCCGCTGGGGGCTGGCCCTCCTCCTGCATTTCTGCAACGTCTCCATGATGTCCCAGCGCGCCTGTCTCAGCCTCACCATGGTCGCCATGGTGAACGGCTCGGGCCCCCAGGGCTCACCCAACATGTCCACCCCAGAGCCCCTGGACGACGTCAAGGTACGTAGGAATGTCGTCCACACTCACGCGTTGACAGCCCGGCCTCGCTCACCATCTGTGTACAGAGTGGACGCTACTGAGATCCGTGCGACATCATCGCCGGTTCTCACCTATGGAACCGTGTCCGGGGCGGGGGCTGCCCATCCCTGGGCCTGGCACCGGATTTGCGGAGTGAGACGGCACCTCCTCCTCCCTTTCAGAACCCCGTGTACAACTGGAGCCCCCAAACCCAGGGCATCATCTTAAGCTCCGTCACCTACGGGATGCTCATCACCCAAGTGCCCGTGGGGTATCTGTCCGGAATCTACCCCGTGAAGAACATGGTCGGCTCTGCCTTGCTCCTCAGCTCCCTGCTCAGCCTGCTCACGCCGCTGGCGGCCGGGGTCGGGGAGTCCGCGGTCATCGCCTGCCGCGTGGCCCAGGGGCTCAGCCAGGTACGTGAGGATGCGGAGCCTGAGCAGCCCCCAGTGCACGCAGAGTGTCGGCGAGGACCCGCCTCTGCTTCTCGTTGCAGGGGACGGTGCTGGTGGCTCAGCACACGGTCTGGACCAAGTGGGCGCCTCCGCTGGAACGAGGGCGACTGACCTCCCTGAGTCTATCAGGTAACAGCTCCCGCCCGGATGCTCGCATCCCATGGTTGTCTCCTGGCGTCCTTACTGTGAGAGAGAGAGAGAGAGAGAGAGAGAAACATCAATGATGAGAGAGAATCATGGATTGGCTGCCTCCTGTGTGCCCCCTACTGATGATTGAGCCCAGATCCCGGGCCTGCGCTCTGACCGGGAATCGAACCCTGACCTCCTGGGTCAACGCTCAACCCCGGAGCCATGCCCTGGGCTCTCCTTCACTTCTGATCAGGGTTGTGCTGTGCAGAGGGACTCCACGGAGAGTGGTAGCCACTCCCAGGAGCCTCTTGTCTCGACGTCCCGACGCTGGCGCTCACGAGGCCTGTTCTCTGTGCCCCGGTTAGGGCAGATGCTGGGACCCTCCGTGGCCCTGTGTGTGACGGGGCTCATCTGCCAGTCCCTGGGCTGGCCCATGGTCTTCTACATCTTCGGTGAGTCTCCTGTGAAACCCTGTCCTTATTCAGCCTTTAAGACAAAATTAAGAAGAAGAACGGGAGAAGATGTGGTTTTGGGTGGTGGGCACACGGTGCAAGACACAGATCTGTAACATGGAAACCCACACGTGAAACTTATATGTTCATGTTGACCCAAGTCACCCCAATCCGTTTAATAAATCAATTAATTAACATAAAAATAAGAACTGAATAAATATAACTTACATGAAATTAATGAGGTTAAAAACGATGCATTTCATGAAGGAAAGAGAGATGTCAACATTCACTGATTTCTTTTTTTTTTAATTTATTTTTATTGATTTCAGAGAAGAAGGGAGAGATAGAAACATCAAGGATGAGAGAGAATCCTTGATCGGCTGCCTCCTGCACGCCTCCCAATGGGGATAGAGCCCGCAACCCCAGCATGTGCCCCAACCGAGAATCGAACTGTGACCTCCTGGTTCATAGGTCAATGCTCAACCACTGAGCCACACCAGCCGGGCTCTCTCCTCTCTCTCTCTCTCTCTCTCTCTCTCTCTCTCATCTCTCCCCCCCCCCCCCACACACACACCCTCCACTCTCTCTAAAAATTGATGAGAAAAATATCCTCGGGTGAGGATTAAAAAATAAAGTGTCAGCCTGTTGCCAAGTCTCAGAAGCGAAAGCGGAGGCCCGGGCTTCCCTGCCGCGCCGAGCAGGGCCACTGGCAGAGACGCGCCGCGGAGAGCAGCATCCGGCTCTCACGGCGCTGCCTCCACAGGGGCCGGCGGCTGCGCCCTGAGCCTCTGCTGGTTCCTTCTGTTTTACGACGACCCCGAGGGCCACCCGTGCATCAGCCCCGCGGAGAAGGAGTTCCTCGCGTCCTCCCTCGTGGAGCAGGTAAGCGCCGCCGCCTCGCCTCCCAGATCCCGAGCCAGGGGAGCGCGCCCCTGCTGGCCCCCACGTGCTAACCACGGATGGTGGCTTCCTCCCAGGCCGGCTCCGCGGGGAAATCCGTGCCCATCCGGGCCGTGCTCAAGTCTCGGCCGGTCTGGGCCATTTCCCTTGGCTGTTTTGCTTTTTCCTGGACAAATCACGTCATGTTTTTGTACTTGCCGACTTTCATCAGCTCCAAGCTCCACGTTAACGTGAGAGAGGTCAGTATCGCCTCCGTTCTCGTTTCTTTGTGTAGATATATATTGACTTCAGAGAGGAAGGGGGAGGGAGGGAGAGAGAGAGAGACATCAGTGGTGAGAGAGAATCATGGATCGGCTGCCTGCTGCCCTGACCAGAATCAAACCCCGACCTCCTGGTTCATAGGTCGAGGCTCAACCACTGAGCCGTACCAGCCGGGCTGGCTGTTTCCGATTGTTCTCATCTCTATCACGTTACAGGGCCAGCATGTCCCACTCTCGGCGCAGTCTTCCTCTTACTACCTGCCCAGTCATGTCAGGTCCTGTGACACTAAAAATAAAAATAAAAATAAAACAGACAGATGGTGACGAGGGCTCCGACCTCCAAACGATTGTCCTCTCTTTGGGGCGTGTGGCCCCAGCACTCACGGGGGCCTTGGGTGCTGATGGCTTCACAGATGACGGCGCCAATTTCAGATACTGAATTTCTTTTCTTTTTTTTTAAATAATTCTTTTTTGTTGAAAATATTGCATATGTCCCCCTGTCCCCCATTGACCCGCTCTAGCCCGCCCCCCGCCCCAGGTCCGTTGTCCGTGTCCATGGACCAAGCACAGATGCACACTAGGTCCTTGGTTGATCATCTCCCACCCACCCTCCCCCGCCTTCCCTCCAAGGTTCTGCACTCTGTTCCATGTTCCGTGTCTCTGGCTCCACTCCGTTCACCAGTTTATTTTGTTGCTTAGATTCCACAGAAGAGTGAGCCCTTACGGAATTTGTCTTTCTCTGACGGGCTTGTTTCACTCAGCACAATGTGCTCCAGTAAAAGAGGCTGTTCTGTTCACAGCCGCATCGTATTCCCTGGTGCAAACGCACCAGCTTTTATCCGCTCACCTGCCGATGGGCCCCTGGGCTGCTTCCGGATCTGAGCTATGCAGACGCTGACTGTCGGTGGGTGGCGAGTCCCCTGTGCGCAGGCTCTCACGATAGCGTGTCCTCCCCAGAACGGGCTGCTGTCCGCCCTCCCCCATCTGTGCTGCTGGCTCTTGGGCATCCTCGCGGGGCACGTGTCCGACGGCTTCCTGTCCAGGAAGATGCTCAGCTTGCTCGCCGTCCGGAAGCTCTTCACCGCGCTGGGTAAGTGACGGCCCTGCCCGGTCCAGCTCCCGCGGGGCCCCCCCCACGTCCAGGACGCACCTGACCGTGCCCCCCGACCGCCCAGGACTCCTCCTGCCCGCCGTCTTCGTGGTGGGCCTGCTCTACCTGGGTCCCGGCTTCCACGGCACCGTCGCGTGCCTCACGCTGGCCAGCGCCACACTGGGCTTCTGCGTCGCCGGGATGGTGATCAACCCCCTGGACATCGCCCCCAGGTAGCGGTCACTTTCTCCTTCTTGGCTGCGTCCCGGCTCCCGAGGGTGTTTAAGATTGCGGCGGTCCTGGAGTTCGCGGACAGCTTGCCAAAAGGCCGGCTCTGTGCGAGGTTTGGCTGCTCCGTGGCTGCTGTTGTGTGCACGTCTGTGTGTCCTGAACCCTCCTGGCAAGTGAGGAGTATTTACCTGCTCACTAAGGAGGCCGAGGTTCAGGCACTTCCTTGCTGGCCTAAGAGCTTACCGCCGGTTTGGGATCGTACCCAGGGTTTTTTATATATATGTATATTTTTTATTGATTTCAGAAAGGAAGGAAGAGGGAGAGAGAGAAACATCAGTGATGAGGGAGAATCACTGATTGGCTGCCCCCTGCACGCCCCCCACTGGGGATCCAGCCCGCAACCTGGGCCTGTGCCCTGACCGGGAATGGAAGGGTGACCTCCTGGTTCCTAGGTCGATGCTCAGCCCCTGAGCCAGGCTGGCCAGGCCACGTTGTTCTTAATGGTGCCAGCGCTCCTCGGAGAACACAGACCCGGGCTCCCCAGAGCTGTGTGGAGCAGAGGCAGGTGGAGAGGCAAGCTCGGGCGGGCGTGGCGCCCTCTGCCGCAGCCTGGAGAATCTCGCCGTCAGCTCCGTGGGGTGAGCGCACAGTCCTGAGGACGCGTGTCCACTGCATTGACTCAGTTCCAAGACCCTCCCCAGAACTGCCCGCAGCGTCCGGTTCTGTGGAATTGTCTGAGGACATAAAAGGGGTCTTTTACACAGAAGCACAAGCCAACGGAGCCACATGCTGTGAAAAACAAGCCGCGTTGAGCATCTGTACACAAAGAGGCAAAGGAAATGATGAGCAGCTGCCATCTGGGTCTTTTCATCCACTGGAGATGCAATGTTCTAAAGCTCTGTGCATCCTAGTGAAGCAGGATTTGAGAACGCGGTTCAATTCCGCGTAGGATTGCGCAGGGAAAGGATGACTGACATCTCCGCTGGGAAAGGCCTGAGGAGGCCAGTAAAGACCACACGTGGTCACCAAAGCCACGAGGTCAGGGAGGCCACGGAGAGCAGAGCACGCACCTGGGCGAGGCGTGCTGGCAGCGCCCACCGCGCTCTCGGTTACCCTTTGCCGGTTCTGGGACGTGGCAAAGGCTGGTGTCCCGGGTTGGGCCCTGGCCGAAGGCTCTGTCCTGGAGAGAAACTGCCCAGCACCCGGTGGTTGCTCAGGGCTGCAGCGACAAAGTTAAACATTAAGGGCACTTAAACACAAGGTCAGCTTTTCTCCCTAAGATGTTTGTTGGATTCTGAAGTTCGCGGGGGCAAGGGGCAAAACCCCGAGCAAAACCCTGTGAGGAGCACAGCAAAGAGGAAAACCTGCCGCGGGACCAGGGAGTAGAGGCCTGTCGCCCTCACGTCACAGCGGTGAGCCCGCGTCTGACGCTCCAGCCAGGACCGGCGACCCCGCTGCCTGGGGGCGGCCCCGGGGCCAGTCGCTCTGGGGCTGTGGGGCTGACCAGGTGAACAGTCCTTCCATGTTGATGAAGCCTAAACCACTCCCATGACCAACACCCATCACCTCTGAGTTCCTCCGCTGTGTGTGCCGACCTCCTAACTCACGTGGCTTCCAGGCCAACACGGTCTCATTGTCTCAGCATCATAACATCATTTACTGCTGAGGCCCACGTCCTCCCTGCAGTGTAACCGGAAAGTTACTCATAACCACCATCTCCGTCTGATCTTTTTAAAAATATGCATTTTTTTAAGGTGAAGGGGGAGAGAGAGAGGAGAGAGAGAGAAAGAGAGAGAGAGAAACATCAATGATGAGAGAGAACCATTGAATGGCTGCCTCCTGCACGCCCCACACCGGGGATCAAGCCCACAGCCCGGGCCGGGAATCGAACCTGTAATCTCCTAGTTCATAAGTCTGGTTCACAGGTCGACACTCAGCCACTGAGCCACGGTGGCCGGGCCTCTGTCTGACGCCTCAATGGCGTTTGAGGAGGAGGATGGGAAATCCGGGAAACCAACAGCTATCGTTCTTCAGCCTCATCTTGAACCAAGTGAGGTTCAAGCTTTAAAAATACAGCCGTGTGTCGCCATCCTCTTTGTGCAGATATTACGGGTTTCTGAAAGGAGTCACGGTTCTCATCGGAATGACGGGGGGGCTCATTTCGTCCACTCTGGCTGGGATAATCCTCAATCAGGTAAGAAACGGGTCGTGCCGCCCGGGAGATGGGTACAGCCTGGCCGGTGGCTCCGCGTTAACCACACTCACAAGCCGCTCACAGAAACAGGGTCCTGTGAGGAGTCAGGACGGCTCAGAGCCACCGGACCCTCAGGACCAGATGCTCAGAGACACCGGACACGCACCTGAGGTTTAAAGACATAAAAGAATCGAAACTACAGACATAAACATGAGATTTGACCCAAAAATATACAAAGATCAGCTCTGGCCATTAAAATGTCACACTGAAGTTAGGAATTCAGACGAAATACGGCCAAACAGAGAACGAGTGCGGTGTCCGCCTCCCAGAGCCGAGGGGCAGACCCGGGAGTCTGTCTGGGTGGAGTGCTGGCCTCCCGCTCCTCCCTCCGCCGTGTCCAGCGTGGAGCCCGTCCTCGTGTTAATGTTTTAAATGCCGCAGACACGGCGACGCACCCGACCACGCGTCTCTATTTGCACTTTCATCCCGCAGGACCCGGAGGCCGCCTGGTCTGCCATCTTCTTCCTGGTGGCGGCCGTCAACGTGAGCAGCCTCCTCTTCTACCTGGTCTTCGCCGCGGCCGACGTGCAGGCCTGGGCCCAGGAGAAGCAGCTCACCCGGCTCTGAGGACACAGGGTGGGTGGTGGGCGGGGTGTGAGCGGGCGGCTACCCGGTCCTGCGGGCACTGGGTGCGGGGCTCTGGGCTGTGACCACGTGGCTCTGGCTGTTCCGGGCGTTTCTTTTGTGGCAGCTGCGCCCGCCGTCTGCTGGGCGTTTGGACACGATCTCGCGGGGGCTCTCAGCCCCCCTCCCGCGGTCCTGGCTTCCTCTCTCTCCCGGGTGAGCAGTTGTCCTCCGGCCCCCGATGCTCTCACTGGGACAACGGGAGGTGATTGGTTCCCGTGTCCACAACATGCCTGGAACCACTCGCGTGGGGTTTCCACCGAGCAGTTCTGCAGACGCCAGCGGGGTGTCCTCCGATGTCACTCAGACACCGACTACCCAGAGGTCATCCAGACCCCACGGTTCAGGGCTGGGTCCCCCAGACGGCCCTGACATCAGACACAGACTGGAGTGGCGGTGCCCAAGGTCCCCACGCTTCTGTTGCTACCACGACCCGCTCCTCGGTTTGACAATTTGCTAGAGTGACTCACAGAACATAGGAGACAGACGACTCACCAGCATCGTTTATTATAAAGGCTGTAACTCGGAAACGGCCCAATGGGAAGGTACACAGGGTGGGGGTGGGGAGACACGCAGGGGCTCCGTGCCCTCCCCGGGGGCACCCCCTCCCCACACCTCTGTGGAGTCACCCACCCGGAAGTTCTCAGAGCCCGTCACGTGGGGTTCTTATAGAAATCTCACTGCGCAGGCGTGAGGGTTCAGGCATGGGCCACCGATGAACACCCCCGGCTCCAGCCCTCCCTCTCCTAGAGGCTGGCCCCCGGCAGCGGCCCCCACCCCAAGGCTCGCGGGGCCCCAGCCGCAGTCCCCTCACCTTGAACCACAAAGACACTCATCGCCCCAGAAAGTCTAAGGGTCTTAGCAGCTCGTGTGACACCAACGAGGGACTCAGACCAAACAGGGTAACAAACGAGGCTCCCATTTTCCCGCCACTCAGGACCCCACGAGGGCTACACGTGATCATGTCCCAGCAACAGTGGGAAGAGTGAGCAACACATACAGATCCAAACACAGCCCTGGCCGACTTTGCTCAGTGGGTAGAGCGCCGGCCTGTGGACTGAAGGGTCCTGGGTTCGATTCCCAGTCAGGGCACAAGCCCTGGCTGCGGGCCGGATCCCCAGGTGGGCAGGAGGCAGCCAATCAGTGATTCTCTCTCATCATTGATGTTTCTATCTCCCTCTCCCTTCCTCTCTGAAACCAACAAAAATATATTTTCTTGAAAAGAAATGCAGACACACCCAAGCTTGCAGGAGCTCACACTTCAATCACGGCCGCCTCCTCCTCCCCGAACCCCAATAAACCTCCAGGCGGAGCCTTCAGGGTCCGAGAAGAGACCGGAAGCGAAGTCGGTTCAACGAAAGCACCGCAGGGCCACGCTCGGCCACGGCTCACAGGCGGGTGAGGGTCTGCGCGCGGGCCCAGTCCTGCACCTCCGCTCGGCTGAACACGAGGAAGAAGGCCAGGCCCGAGACGTCCACGGCCGCGGACAGCAGGAAGACGTTTCTCCATCCCCGCTCGGCGTCCTGGAGACAAGCCACGGGTCACCACGGCCCCAAGCGCGTCCCTCCCGCTCAGCGGCCGGTGGCTGCAGCCTCCCCTGCCACCCCCCAGCTCAGCCCCGGACTGTGGGGGACCCGGGCCGAGCCTGGGACACGCAGGGAGGCCAGCCTTTCCCTCTGCAGAGACGTGTCCCCCCGACACCCCCCCCCCGACGCACCCCCCCAAGACCCCCGAGAGCATTGTCTCTCTCCCCTGCTTGCTTCCAGCCCTCGGCTTAAATATCATTTTTTCCGTGAGTCCTTCCTCGACCGCCCTATTTAAAATGGAAATCCAGCCCTCGTATTCATTGCCTATCGGTTCCTTTTCCAGAATAAAGGCTTCCCAGCGGCAGGCACTTCCACGTCGTCCCGTAGTGCCTTGCGTGGCGCCTGCCCAGGGTCCATGCATGTTTGCGGAATGAATGAATGAATGAATGAATGAATGAATGACAGGGAGACCCTGTCAGCGTGAGGATGTCCATTTTAAACGACCGTTTCCTGACGAATGTTAGTGACTGAAAGGGAACTGAAGCTTCAAGGGACAAAGGACGTGATGGCAGACAGGACACACCTTCCTCCTTAGTCTCCATTTTCCTGACTTCCTTGTGGGAAATCACAGCAAACTGAAAAAATGATACTCACGTGGCCCGGCAGGCGTGGCTCAGTGGCTGAGCGTCGACCTGTGAACCAGGAGGTCATGGTTCGATTCCCAGTCCGGGCTCGATCCCCAGTGGGGGGCGTGCAGGAGGCAGCCAATCCATGATCCTCTCTCATCACTGATGCTTCTATCTCTCTCCCCCTCTCCCTTCCTCTCTGAAGTCAATAAAATATATATTAAAAAAGAAAAAGAATGACACGCATGCGGATGCCATGCACATCGCCTTTGCCCACGGATTCCGAGGACACGCTCAGGCGTCCGCGGAAGCTGTCCGTCCTGGGAGCTTGGACGCGTCTCCCGGGATGGAGGCTGCTGGGCGCCGCGGCTCCCCCCTGTCCTTCGCCCGGCCTCTCGCTCGCTCTGTCTGTGTGTGCTGGGTTCCCACGTGGGTGACCGGCTCTTTCCCGGTCGCGGGGGACTTTCAAGGTGTGAGGATTGAACGTCCCGGGAAGCCCTGCCCTCCCGAGCGGCCCGCGGCGGCCGGCCACTCTCTGCTGTTCCGGAACGTCTGCAGCGTGGCCGCCAGATCTGATGACAGCGGAAGCTCATCTCCTCAGACCTCGTGAGGCATCACGGCAGGGAGTCGAGCATTCTCCTCCCTCCACCCGAACGAACGCGGGGGCTGCGGGGGTGCCGAGCTGCCAGCCGAGCCACGCAAACGCCCCGAGTCTGACTTGGGGGGGCCTGGAGGTTCCGCTCGGGAATATTGTCACCAGGACCTTTGACCTCACCTGACTGAGGAAAAATCCAGAAACCGTGGGAGCGATGACTCCTGAGAGCTGAACAAAGACCAAGGATAAGCCCTTGATAAAGCCAGTGTACCTGAGAGAGAACGAGAGAGTCAGCAAAGGGCATCTCAGCTGCTCTGCTGCCGTCCTGCGCTCAGCTCTGGGGGGGCCTGGGCTTGTGTTGACCCTTCGTCAAACCTGATAGAAACAGCCCGGCCAGCGGGGCTCAGGGGTTGAGCGTCAACCTATGAACCAGGAGGTCAGGGTTCAATTCCCAGTCAGGGCACACGCCCAGATTTCAGGCTCCATACCCAGTGGGGCTGTGTAGGCAGCAGCCGATCCATGATTCTCTCTCGTCCTGGGTGTCTCCACCTCTCTCTCCCTTCCTCTCTGTAGTCCATAAAAACATGTTTTTAAAAAACAGAACCCTGAGCAAAACGTACTGACCGCGATGGCTGCCACCCTGTGCAGGGCCTGCGACCCCCACGGGGTAGCTGTGCTAACGGGTCAGTGTTGTTCGCACAAAACAGACAGATGGTGTTTGACCTCGTTTATATCGCCCCTTGGCTTCTGCTATGAAGTCCACCCTGGCAGCCTTCCTTTGGGGGACACAAGACCCCTCACTGGATGACACGTGTCTCCCGCGTGTCCTGCTGGCCCACGTCTGAAGGAGAGTGTCCCGAGGACTATGAGTCTCTGTGGTCTCTGATACCCAGCTGTCCTGGAGGCGATGCCCCTTGTGCGCCTGCCCTTTAGCCTTATCTTGCCCCACGTGAGCAAGCCCCGTGGCCCGAGGCCGTGTGACAGCGGCGTCCCCCTCGGGGAATGATGGCTCCTTCCGGACAGCATCTGGACGCAGGGCTGGGGCCGACATTTCCCAGGCCCCATCCCACATGTCACTCACACGCTGACCCACGGTCACGGAGGACCAGGCCCCCGGACCGAGACTGAGCTGCCGTGGGGGAGGAGGAGGCCCCGGGTCCTTACCTGGGAGCAATGTCTATGAAGTTGACAAGGGCCCCAGATTGGCAGAGGCTGCTGGTGGCCAAACTCAGGACCAAGAAGGCCATGGTGACGCCCAGGCTGAAGCTGACCCAGGGCAGGAGCACGGAGAACAGGCTGGGGAAGAGCACCCCTGGCAGGAGGCAGACGGAGAGCTGGGAAGCTGCCCGAGCTCCCCCACCCCCCACCCGGCCACCTGCGTCCTTACCTATGGAGGTGAAGAGCCTCCTGACGACAAGGAGTGAGAGGATGTGTCTGGAGAGGAGGAAGTCCGCCAGCAGGCCCCCCAGGATGATGCTGATAAAGGCCACGCCAAGCAGCAGGGCAGACAGGAAGCCACTCTGCGGGCCAGAAGGGAGTCAGTGCAGGTGCACGCCCACCCCCACAGGGCCGGCTCGTCCCCTGGGTGCTGTCCACACCCGGCTGCTCTTTCGATGCCCATCACCGTCATCACGCACCCCGCGCCACTGCAATGAGCCCACGTCACTTCTGAGGGGAAATGTGCGTGTAGTTTGAACACAGGATGCGTGCTCTCTCCATATAGAAAGTCGCTGGGAAACAGGGGCTTAAAGAACCAGCCCGGGCTGGGGGGTCACCGGTTGGAGCATTGGCAGCTGATCCATGATTCCCTCTCATCATTGATGTCTCTCTCTCTCTCTCTGAAATCAATAAAAATATTTTATTTTCTTAAAAGGAAAAGGAGACCAATGGGACGGATTTAACAGGCACGTGGGCCAAGCTGTTTATTTTACCGACGAGTAAACCAAAGGCCACCACGGTGACGTGTCGTCGAGAGAAAACACCCTGAGATCCATGGGGACCCGGGTCTGGGCCTCAAGTCTCTCTCCAGGCTTTCTCCCGCCGCCTCCCCCTCACCCGGCCTCTGGGGGTGGGGACCCACCCGGCCTCGCCCCACACTCATTCTGATCCCGGGCCTGTGGTTCTGGTTCCATCACCTGCTTCTGCCCTCACTCCCCCTTTCCCCCCTCCCTCTCCCGCCCCCTCCCCTCCTCTCCCTCTCCTCCCCTTCTTCCTTCTCTCCCTCCTCCTCCTCCCTCTCTCTCCTCCCTCCCCCCTCCTCCTCCTCAGGGAAGGCCCACAGCCACCTCGCCCTTGGATTTCCTGATCCCAGCACCCACTGCCCATGTGAACGTGTGTCCAGACTTGATCTCTGCTAAGGTCGCTGTTTGCTGGCCACTTAGCATGTGGTCACCATAGGAGCCCAGCTCCATGAGCACACGGCTTTTTGAGCACAAACGGTGGGACCGTAGCAAGAATTCAGTGACCCTGTGCGCCGTCACCTGTGACATCTGATGAGCTCATCACCTTTTACGACACCCGCCTGGCTTACGACACCCGCCTGCTGGGACCCGAGAGGCTCCATCAGCCAGTCAGAGCACCGGTGCATTGTGGGAAGACGGCGCACTGGCGCCTCGGGGCACCTGTCTCCCCGTACCCATCGGGCTTGAACAAAAGGGTTTAGGTTTTTGGTGTAAATCCTATTAATAACGCCCTGTTTTTAGGGCCTGTTGCCTGCGAGTCTGTCACAGCCTCCAGAAAGGCGCACTTTGTTTTGCTTCATCCTTTCTGCCGTCAGCAGAGTGTCCTGTTTGCAGATGTCGATTGGGTTGAACACAGAATTTTCTCATAAATCCCTTAAAAAAGGTGACATCCTGCCAGGCCGGCGTGGCTCAGCGGTTCGATCCCCGCTCAGGACACAGGCCCGGGCTGCACCTCCATCCCCAGTGGGGGGCGTGCAGGAGGCAGCCGATCCATGACTCTCTCTCATTGTTGATGTTTCTATCTCTCTCTCCCTTCCTCTCTGAAATCAATAAAATATGTATTTTTTAAAAACATGGCATCCTTTGAATGTCACGCTGACCTAGAACCATACCGTTCTGGCCCCCCAAAGCGGGAGGCCCCCTTGAGATGAATCAGAATTCAAGAGGTTGCATCTCCTACCGGAAGGTCCCGGGCCCCGAGCCTGGTGACCCCGGGGGAGGCCGAGGTCACGTGACGAGGCCTTGCAACAGCAGAGGCGCATGCGCGCTCGCACTCACCGCGCGGAGGTCCACGTGGAGGACGGAGTGGAGGTAGGTGGGCAGGTACGCCATCAAGACGTAGAAGAACCAGTGCTCGCTGAACTGGGACAGCAAGGCGCTCCAGAGCGGCAGGGACTTGGCCATGGCCTTGACAGGGAGAGACCCGTCGGGTTCGCAGTCCTGGAAGAAAGTCGGTGCCGTGGGCCCCCCGTGGAGACACGGTCCCCCCCGCCCCGCGACCAGCCGCCGCCCAGGCCCCCCGGGCAGGCACCTCCTGAGCCAGCGCGCGCGCGATGAGGTCCCGCTCCCCGGCGCTGATGAACGGGTGCGCCGCGGGGTCGTCGTAGGCGAGGGCGAACCAGAGGCAGG